ACACACACACACACACACACACACACACACACACACACACACACACATAATTTGCCCTAGTCTGTTTTGATCCAGGGCCTAAAAGAAAAAAAACAACAACAATTAATGTGTACTTTTAAGAAAAGGTTGAACAAATATAGTACCTGTCGACTAATATTGGCAGGAGTAAACTGGTTAAGAATAGGTTGCAATCCGGTTACATCAGCTGCAGTCTTGTAATCTAATCGATATTCCATAAAAATAGTAATTGGAGTGAGCTTATCTCTAAATTCAGATTCATCCTGGAAATGAAAATGATTCTAGTTAGTAGTGAAATGTCCCCAACATCTAAGGAGAAAACCCCCAGATGCACACTTCACTTACTTCTCATTTGTCTCTAACCATCCCATCATCCATTGTATCTATATTCCCACAACAAAAGCCAGAGAAATTTTGTACAATCAACAAAAATTTATTAAGCACCTACTATGTGCCAGACACTGTGCTAAGTGCCCGGGATATAAAGGCAAAGGAAAACAAAACAAATGGTCGTTGCTCTCTAGAAGCTCACAGTCTAATGAGACAACATGCCAACAACTATGTCCAAACAAGATATATAAGGATAGACTGGAGATAATCCCAGAAGGAAGGCACTAGCATTAAGGAGATTCAGCTGGAAAAGTTACTTGCAGAAGGTATGATTCTAGCTGGGATCTGAAGGAAGTCAAGAAATCCAGGAGACAGAGATGAAGTGGGCAAGCATTCTAGGCATGAGTTGTTCCAGTCAGTGAAAACACAAAGAGTCAGAAGATGGGGGGTGGGGGGTCTTGTATAAGGAACACTGAAAACTTCAGTGCCTCTGGTTAACAGAGTGTGTGGAAGGAAGCAAGGTAAAAGAAAACTGGAAAGGTAGAAGGGGCCAGGTTATAAAGGGCTATATAAGCCAAACAGGATTTTACATTTTATTTTGGAGATAATTTGGAGGCATGGGAGTTTATTGAATAAGGGAGTAATATAGTCTGGTTTGTACTTTAGAAAGATAGATTTGACAGCTGAGTGGAGGATGGATGAGAGTAGGAAGAGTTGAGGCTTGGAGACTACTTCAATTGTCCAGGCAAGATAATGAGGGCTCACATAAGGATGGTAGTAGTATCAGAAATAAAAATGCTAGACCTGAAGACAGGAAGTCCTGAGATCTAATTCAACCTCGGACAAGAACTGTGTGACCCTGGGCAAGTCACTCACCTCTGCCTCAGTTTCTTCAACTGTAAAAATAGATACGATAATAGCTCTTACCTCATAGGGTGGTTGTAAGGCTCAAACGTGATAATATCTGTAAAGCACTTAGCACAATGCCTGGCACATAGTAGTAACTTAATAAATGCATATTCCCTCTCCCTTGGTCACTGTTTTTGTTAGAGATCATCAAACAAAGGCTGAATGATCACTTGTTGGGATGCTATTAGAAGGCATTATTGGTTAAGTATGAGTTGGGTGAGGTAGTTCTCCAAATTCTTTCTGGTTTTTAGATTTCTGTCATCCTGGGAAGAGTGAGATGCCCAGAAAGAATAATTTGCTTTAATCACTAATAATAAAAATATCTAACACTTATACAGCACAGATTACATAACCTGGAGAAAAGTATTCAGCAAATAGTCCTGTTTTCAGTTTTTCTTTTTAAAAAAATTTATTGTAATACAAAAAAAAAATCTCAAAATGCATTACAATTAAACTAAATAATTGAAGGGGTCAGAAAATACAACAAGGAGATAATGTATGCAAAGTATTTTGTAACCTAAAGCATCTATAAGATAATGTTTCATACTAAGAACAATGATGCTGATTTTTTTTTTACCCGTAGATATGCTGTAAGCTCCTCACATTGCATCTGACCACCCTTTGAAATACTCATGTTCTTTGAGTGTCCAGGTGATTTGTTATGGAGAAAGAGGGCTCTCCGAATGGCTCCTTTTTGCTTCAGTTTATCTAAAAGAAGTTCAACCTGGAAATCTATGAAAATCAACAAATAGAAGTATTTTTAAAAGAAGCAGTCATCTTATATAGAAAGTTTCTCACTTTAATAATATATCACTTACTTTCCTCTAGATTTCCCAGTAAACAGAACCTTTTTTTCTTTTAAAGTAAAAATTGCCTTCAAATCCCATGATTTGAATCCCATAATCCCATTCAAATCCCATAATATTCTAGTTATGCAACCAATACAATATTCCAAGTTTTAGTGTAAATAAATCTTTAACACTTCATGGATTAATAGTTTGTTTTTGTTTTTAGACCTCTGATTTCATCAATGAAGATAGCTACCGATTCCTCTCCTAAGGCAGATAAGTCCCTTCTCTGCAATTCGTAATCTTTGAGAGTTGACTGGGGCCCTAAGAGATTAAGTGGTTTGCTCAAGGTCATAGAAACCATATATGTCAGAGGTGGGACCTAAAACCACGTCTTCCTGACTCTCTTTTCACTATTCCGTGCTGCTCATTTAAAACAATATACCACTTCCCAGCCCCAAACCTCTCAAAGTGTTGCAGCAAATTACTTTCTTATGTAAGATGGAAAAATATTGGTGACACAATTTGACTGCTCCACATAGAAGAGAACATATCAAACAATGTAAGAGATGCCAAGTTTGTTGACCCAGGCATACAGAAGGAAGGTCTTGATAGAAGTAATAGAATAAGTTTCAGAACTAAGTCTTCTATTATTAACATTGACAGAACTCCAATTATTATTAACTTTAATAAATATTTATCTAATGTTATATATACCAAGAAGCTCAAAACTAGGTTGACTACTAGATGATAAATTATTCAGCCACAGCATCCTCTTATACTCTTGCAATTTAAGTGAATGAAAATAAATTTTGTTTTAAAAATTTTGGGAGAAGTTACCACTAAAAAAAAAAATCACAAAAAAATATCACTAAGCAGTATGATATTCAGGTGATATCCCCTTTTTTTTTCTACATGGACAAAACATTTCCATTTTTTAACAAGGTAAGTGAAGTGTGTTAAGGTTTGTGGCAAAGCTTGAGCTTTGTGAGCCCCCAAGGCACTCCACTCTGCTCAGGGTTTCCAGGGGCCCTTAACACAAAAACAGGTGTTAAAGCAAGAGAGTTTTACAGGAGATGTAATGCACAAAAAAGTCTGTGTGGACAGTTTCTCTAAATTTTACAAAGAGCTAATTTAGTACTTGTCAATTATAAAATACCCTATGACCAAAATAACAAAAATAACAGTTTTCCCTTGCAGCACAACTTACTCAGCTTCTCCGGAAGCCTCCCTTTGCCATCAGCCTTTAAGCAGAATCTCACGTTAAAACTGTAGGGAAATGAAAACTATAAATCCTTCCATCCAGGGAAAAGCTTTGATATATTCTTTTAAGTGTCTACATCTCACAATTCTAATCCCTAATTCAATTACAAAATTTTAACAGACATCTTTATACATATCCTGAAATTAATTTTATCAAGTAAAATATAGAATTATAGTGCTTTCTAACCCAAATTCTTCCTATAATCAATTAAGTCCCTTTTCCCTCCTCATTTTAATCCTTAGAACAAACAGAACAGCTCATTAAAATCCTCTTAATAAAAGCATAGGGAACTCACAAAATGAGTAAATTTCCTGAGGGATATTATTATTAATAATAAAAGCTAGCATTTATATAATGCTTTAAGGTTTGCAAGCACTTTACAATTATTATCTCCTTATATCCTCACAATAATCCTGGAAGGTAGGTGCTATTATTATCCCTTTTTTTACATGTGAATAATCTAAGGCTGACAGAGGTTAAATGACTTGATCCAGGTTATACAGATAGTAAATTTATGAGACTGTATCTAACCTCAAGTCTCCCTAACTCTCAGATCCAGCACTCCACTGACCACATAGCTGCCCCTATGTTAAAGTATCAATCATTATTTTAAAGTCAGCTCTTGCCATAGAGAACAATACCTGGGAGAGCTTTCTTCCTGTAAGACAGAGGTTCTTAATCTTTTTTTTGTCATAGACTCCTTTGGCACTTTGGTGAAGCCTACTGACCTCCTCCCAGAATAATGTTTATAAACGTTAAAAAAAAAATTTTGGATTAAAAAGAAAACTAATTACGTTGAAATGAAGAATAATTTTTTTCCCATCTGAGATCACAGACTACTTGAAGTCTTTACATGGACCACAGGTCTGCTATCCAGACTTCAAGAACAGTTGCAAAGGAAGGCCTAACACATATAGCTGGGCCTAAAAACACCATGTTCTAAGCTCATTAATCTTGTTACTTGCTCTGCTTCTCAATCACTGGGGACTAAACTCTGAATCTTACTTCCTAACCCCTGCCTTCCTCCCATCATTAGTGTGTGTGTGTGTGTGTGTGTGTGTGTGTGTGTGTGTGTTTTAACCTCATTTACACTTCAGACATTGTTTCCCATCTCTGCTTCCAAGCCCCTTCCTGACGTTGGCTTCTTCATGCTGCAGTTGTGCTCTCTAGCAGTAGAAACAGCTACAAACTGTTCTTCCCTCCCTAAATCAGGCATTTCACTAAACATCATGCCACCAACTCAGCCATAGCCCTTGACAGGCCCAGCTGTAGCAACATTACAAAAAGACTGTTTCCATTTAACAAAGGGATGAGTCAGACGATCTTTTAAATAGCAAGCTCCCCAAGAGCACTTAAATACATGTTTATAATCATCAGTTACTTGACAGGCTGATAGAGAACACTGTTCAGCTTCATGGGAGTAGAGAGGAAGGCAAAGATACTTCAATGTGTTTGGAGCCAATGCCAACTAAAGATCACCAGAAAAGAATATAAAGAAATTGTGAAATGATAACATAAACCAATGAGGATGACATGATTCTATCTACAAAAAGAAGTTATTTGCATAGAACTCTTCAGTGACACTTTTATACCTTATAATGCAATCGTTTTTTTCCCTAATATTTCTTTTTAATTTCAAATCATCTACCTCTCAATCATTTCTCAATTCATGCCTTGGCTTTCTCTAATTTATATCAGAGACATCCAAATATGTGAGGGAAATAAGAAATAATAGACTTTTGAGGAAAATCTAAACATTGTGAGGATCAGATGAGACAATAATTGTAAAGTGCTTAGCACAGTGCCAGGCTCATAGTAAGCACTATATAAATGTTAGGTAGTATTATTTATTTGAATAAGTATAAAGAAGCTAAGAAGGGAAGCTTTACCTCCCAAGACATATTAAGTGCTTCTTCAAAGAGATGATTTCAACCCAGGGTATTTAATTATTACTTAGTATGTTAAGTTGGAAAGGGAAGATCAATAATTCAAATGCACTAAACATTTAGAGGACCTATTGATTATAGATATTCCATCCATTGATGCAAACTAGCAACTTTTGGGAAACTCTTAGTCTTAAAGAGATTTCCTGTAACACTAAAAGGCTAAGTAAATGGTATCTGTTAAGATAACTAGCATGTGCTGAGTATACTTGTACATGCCTGTAATCCCAGAAGCTAGGGAGACTGTGGCTAGCAGATTTTTCAAGCTCAGAAGTTCTAAGCCAAGGTGGGCAATGGTGATCGAGTATCTACACTAAGTTTGACATCAATACAATGAGCCCACAGAAGCAAGGGGCCACCAAGTTGCCTGAGGAGACACAAACCAGCCCAGTTTGGAAACAGATCAAGTCAAAGTTCCATGCCAATCAGTAGGAGGACCAGCTCTATGAGTAGCGTCTGTACCAAGCCTGGGTGGTATGGGGAGGCCAAGTCTTTAAAACAAGTAAACAAAAAAGCCCACAGAGCTATTATAGATCAGAAATAAAACCTGAACCTATGTCTTTCTAACCCCAAGCCTGCTGCAATATCAATTATATTATACTGCATCTCTTTCATGCATAACTGAGCACTTTTGAAAAGGTTACTTTTATTTATCATAATCATTCAAGAGCTTTGGTATTGTTTTCTTTGGAAATTATTTTTTTAGTCATAATTTGGAGCTGAAATACAACCCATCCGTAAAAAGTGTTTTATATTTACCCTCCTTTGTTCTTTCAACTAACTATTTTAACTCATTTACATGCCTTCTGAATTAACTATCATGTTAATGCTTTTTATTAAACAAACATTCTTACCAGGAAACTTTGACATCTGTGCCAGGGAGTGGACAGGTCTTACTGTCTTGATTTAGAATAGTGGGGTAAACTTCTAGGCCTGCATTTACAGTGATAACTGGCCTGGCTCTGTGGTGGTGATGGTTGTATTTTAAGAGAAAAAAAAAGAAAAGATAAACAGGGAGAAACTTTTAAATTTTAACAGATTAGATACACAGATACATGTAGATTATATTTCTTAAATGTACTCAGTTCAGGGTGTCTCATCTCCAAATAGGAGTCAGAGATCTGGGATCTGTAACATCAATTTTTTCATAATACCCAAAATTAAGATCATCCATTACAAACCAAAGAGACCAAATTTTACAGTCTTAGGGCTGGTTTGCTAAGCATATGTAAACACAGTCCAAAAAAGAAGTGTAGTTACTAAGAAATACAAATGGAAAATGTTAGTGGAGCAGAGTAGATATGGAAAAGCTTTTCTGATGACATCTTAGGACATATGGAATTAATGAAGTCCAGATGCATGAAACATGTCCTAAACTGCAAAAGGAAAAAATATAGTAATAAGACATTAAAAATCATAGCGTACAGCAACAGAATAGGAACATGAATGATATGAGTACTTAATTTCTCCAATAGGACTATTTATATTAGAACTACTTGAAATTTATTTCCTTGCTTTTTGCAGAAATAGTTTTTAATGCTACAGACAAATACAGAGATAAAAACAGAAAAAAAATGTAAAATTGTTTAAAATAAAACAGTGAAGGTCTGAACTGAATGACATTTTTTTTTAACAACCATAGTTTTACTTATTATAAACACATCAGAAAGACTAACACTTAGCTGCAATGAAATACTGGATATCAAGTATTCCCAATTACTCCCTCAGAATTAAGCTGAAGTTCATATATTACTTGGTATATAGTTATAGAATTATCAAATGACTCTGGACTGCTCCCTAAAAGAGGCTCCAGAAGCTCACCTATATAAAACAGCTCGGTCCACACCAAAAGCACCTACAATTAAATCTAAAAAAGAATAAAACCATGTTATTTATAAATTATGTTACTAATTAAAAAGAAAAAAAATACATTTTCCCTGGCTAGAATTATTATCATTTTAATTTATAGTTCTGGTCAAGCTTATTCATTTCCTATTCCTATATTCCCCAACAATGAATCTTAACATTATATCTAAAGGGAAATGGGGAAAATGTAGAAGATTTAAATAAGTTACTACAAAGTCTAAATCCTGGACTACAGCCTGAAACTCTGATAAAAAATGTATTCACATACAGCTTTAATGAGATCCCACAGGGATTAGAAGATGATAGAGGGGGGATAAAAGTATAAATACCTGTGGTTTTTACCACATCAAAGACTTTGACCCGAAGGAAAAAATAATCACCTATATGTATAACCTATTTCTAGGAACAAGTCTCAGTATGAGCTATGTCACACCATATGTGCCCCTCACTCTATGTACTAAAAGGGAAAATTAATTTCCAATTCCCTAATTGTCTTTTTTATTATTTTTATGCTTTTTAGCATTCAAATGTCACAACACATATAATTTTTTTAAATTAAACTAAACAAACACCAAAGAAAATGGCTTTTTTCCATATAATTAGGTTCGTGAGAAACAGTTATGGGGCACAACAGATAGATCATTGGACTTGGAGTCCAAAGATATGATTTTTCTAGCCTTAAATTCTTATTAGCTGTGTGACCCTGGGCAAGTCACTTCACCTCTGTCTACCTTGGTTTCCTAATCTATAAAATGTGAATAATAATAGCATTTAAATCCAAAGGTTGTAGTAGGGATCGGATGAGATAATATTGTCAAAAAAAGTACTTTGCAAACTTTAAAAATGTTATATAAACACTAGCCATAGTAATAATTATGATTATTTTAATTATATTGGTTAGTTATTATCCCTTGTTCTCTAAGAGGACCAAAATGACATCACTATGTTGGGGTCAAAGCGCAGTGTTTCTAACCGTGGCTGATCAGACGAATATGAGCTTGGAAGCCTCCAACATAAGTCAGGCACAAATAGTCCATATTATTATAACCAGAACAAAAAGGGAAGATTTTACAAAAAATTTCAGATTTCTTTTATGTACAGCTTGCTTTTTTTTTTTTTTAAAGCACATAATAAATTCATTCTATAGCTTTCAAAGCCATCCTGCTTGTCTGTGTTTCCCTCTGGCCTTCTGATTTTTCTTTGCCTTTTTAAAAGAAGATATTTCAGTGGCATTACATTATTTTCTTTCTTGTCTGTTTTCATGTGTAATCTACAGGAGGAACATATATTACTAAGCCAAATCTACTCTAAATGTATAAGCGTAATGAACTCAGAAAATATTTGCAGAACATTAAGTTCTTACATATACATATATATATATAAAAACATGCCCTTCTGTTGCAATGCTAGGTAGGAAAAATGAAAGTTACATAGTTAATTAGAATTATATATGCATAACTTCATGTACATAATTCTATTTGACTACATAGTTCCTAGTTATGTATTTTATGTATACATATATAAAGATTTCTATGTAGACATATATATTTATACATGTATATATGTACATGTACACATATGCATAAAATAATGTGATCTACTTTCATAAACATACATTTTTAGGGTTGGAAAAGTTTTTAGAGAATATTTAGTGCAACCTCCTCACTTTGCAGGTACAGAAACTGAGACCAAGAAAGATGAAATGATTTGCCCAAAGCTAGTTAGTAACAAACTGATTATTTAGTAACAAGCTGAGGCCAGAACCCAGGCATTCTGACTTTCAGAAATTTTTTCATACCACATCTTTCATTATTGCCCTTCACCAAAATCATATAGAAACCAATTAAATGTAAGAGCTTGATATATCATTTTTATTATAAATCAAGATAGTAAACACTGATTCTACAGATGATTTAACATATGTGTGTACACTATTTTACCTGGGTATCCATTTTGATCTATATCTGTGGCTCCTTTCAATGAGTACCCAAAACTTGGTGGCATAGCCTGGGCAGCCCATTGTCCTTCTAAGATTTGAGATGGCACTGAATTTAAGCCTGTGGTTCTTCCATTGTAGATATAAACAATCCCTTGTTTGTCCTCTCCCCCATAGGGGGCAGCAATTGCAACATCTGTGAATAAAAAGGGAAGACTTCAAAAAGTAGGAAAAAGACTTATGGATTTCCATAAGTTACTCCAGTAGATAAATGCAACATTAAAGCTTGAGTGCAGCATTGTTTATTCAAAGGAAATGCTTCAGTTCAAATTGAAACAAACCACATCCCTCAAGCATATTGTTGGTTTCTAAGTAGTAGACATCAGTCTGGCCCAGAAAAATGTTTCAGCAGGATGTACTTATAACAAGACAGTTCTATGGCATGGAGGTATTTTCCAGCTCTTGTAATTTGAAGCATCATAATATTTGCAATTAATGCCTGACTTTGGCTGTCAGAAACTCTTATCTTTGGAATCAAGGAAGGCAGCAAGAAATGAAGCTGGCACAAGAGGCTTCCAAGTTAAAAACTGAACCTAAAACTAAACCCCACAGAACAGGGACCCCCAGGAACTTGCCCTGGATATTAGTGTATTCTCCTCCTCAAATTACCATATATTTACTTCCCTCCATAGAATATTAAGTTCTTTGAAGGCAAGAACCATTTCTATATCCCGTGCATTTAGCACAATGCCTTGCATATATAAAGTGCTTAATAAATACTTGTTAAATTGCATTGAACTGGACAGGTAGATATAGAACATGTATCATCAATATGACAGTTTCTGTGCATTACCCTGATCTTTCCAGTTCAATTTCTGTACAAAATCAAAAAATAGGCATTTATATTGGCTGCCTTCTGAAGCTTTCCTGGGATCAACATTATTCTAATTACCTTGGCTTAGAAAGTCTTTTAGCTTGTGTACTGTTATATAAATCTGTTAATGAACTTGAACTCCTGGGCACTCTAACCATGTAACTAATGGTATTCCTGTTTCTTAATTTCATTACAGACCAGATAAACATTAAAATAATGTGGGAGGTTAAGTTTCTTAAAGCAAACAGCAATCCCTAGATACGTCTGCCTTATAAAAAGCATAGTCTAAATAACACTGAATATCCAAGTCAAAGAGAGTCAGAGAGCTATGTTTACATTAGTCATGTAATTAAAAACTAGATTAAAATACACACCTTCAAGCTTACCCACAAAACTGTGATGTATTTAGGATTTCATCAGATTTAATAGCATCTTCTTTCACATTTATAATAGCAATTCACGATCAAGACCTCAGCATATTGCTAAAATTTTATCAGTTATAGAAAAAAAGCAAAACAAGCCTATGATTCTTGCAAAAGTCACAGAACAGTCAAGTAGATTAAAGAAGGAGGAGGATTACATTCCAGATGATTTCAAATAAAAAAGAGAACTTCAATTTCCTTAAGATGTTGCCTGGATTTTGAGGAGATTTCTAACCATCTTAATATGAAAGGTAGTAGGAAAACATTCCACTTGAAGCAATTTGTACTATGAATTTAACATTAAGAAATGTCATAATGGGTCAGACCAATTAAGGGATGTTCTGGGAGACCATGATTCTTCTGGGTAATGATAATTTCCAAAGGTTAGGACTATTCTTCATATATACTACCTTTCTTCAACATCCAATTTAAAATCTAAAACTTCACTGAAACTATTTATGTTTCTTTCTAATAATAAGTTTATTAGCTATTAACCCAAATAAGTACTTACCTCATTTGTTCAATAAATGCCTCTTTGAAGCTTCAGTAATAACCATACCCTTAAATTTGTTGTCATATATGTAGGAAGGTGATAAAGATAACTGGATATCTGGGGCAGCTAGTTGGAATAGTGGATAGAGCTCTGGCCTTGGAGTCAGGAGGACCTGAGTTCAAATCTGGCCTCAGACACTTGACACTAGCTGTGTGACCACGGGTAAGTAACTTAACCCCAACTGCCTCACCAAAAAGCAAAGGAAAAAAAAAAGATAACTGGATATCAAATTTTGATAGATTCTAGCATTCGCAGTTAGGTAAACAAAAGTCCGTATCTATCCTATCATAATTTTATACATATTTATCATATCTTTCTTTTTTTCTAATCTAGAGTAGTACTACTGCTGCTACTATTGTTAAGGCTCTCTTCACAAAAGAAACTCGTCTACCTCCTTTATCCCTTTCTTAGGAATTTTGACTACAACTGCACAGTATATTCTCAGATATAGACATTATGCTTTTGTACAATGGTAGGAGACTGGCTCCTGCTTTGTTTCTAGTGTCCTTCCTTAATAACCAAACCCCATATCTATGACTTGTTTAGCAATGGTAGATTGGTCTGATGTCTCCAAGTACCAACCTGTATCTTGTCCTTGATACATATGAACAGTCCATAGTCCATCATTTGATAAATTCAGCTTGGGTAATTTTCTCTAAAGGTGTTAAGGGAATATAATCCTTAAAGTCACTTTTCTATTACAAGACTTCTAAATGACAAACTTTCATGGTAGTGAAATCTTTGACATTATATTTTAGGGAACAAAATTCACCTCTGAATAGTTTTTCCCAGTTACTAATTTATTAGGACGGTTTTCGATAAACATCAAACAAACAACTTTCCATCAAGGTGTGACACAAGTGGAGAAGGGAAAGGGATTAAGATTCTTTTCCTTCCCCAAAAGTGCTTGAACTATGTGGATTGATTGTAGTCTTGGCCTCTTCAGGTTTTAAAATGCAATAGTTTGTGGATTTTATTTTTCTGGATATCAATAGATTACAGGCAGGACTCAACAGATTGATTTGTCATTAGGTTGCTATACAAATATTTCACTGTTACTATTTTTGTTAAGAAAAAAGGTCCACTCCTTCACCTTTACTCCTTTATGAACTGAGAGATATCCCTGAAATACTTTAAAGCAGAATATTTTGGATTTTTGTCTTGTTTGTTGTTTTTTGTTTTTAAAGTTACCAGTTTCTTACACATTGTCTCATCCTTGATGTAGGGACAAAAATGCTGTTAATGTGTCCGATGCAATTCAATTCAGCAAACATTTATAAAGTGCCTATTAGGTATAAAGAAATATGGTAGGTACTTGGGATATACAAAATGAAAGTGTTCCTGACCTCAAGGAGCTTACATTCCACTGGATGTATTCCAATGTCTAGGGTGAAATGCTGCTGTTTACTGTTGTTCAGTCATTTCAGTTGTGTCTGACCCTTAGTGACCCCACTTGGGGTTTTCTTTGACAAAGATACTGGAGTGATTTGCTGTTTTCTTCTCCAGTGCATCCAGTGGATCTATTCTGTCAGGCCATCAGAGGTTAAGTGACTTGACCAGGGTCCCACAGCTAGGAAGTATCTGAAGCTGGATTTGAACTCAGGTCTTCCTAACTCCAGGCCCAGTGCTCTATTCACTAAGCCACCAGCTGCCTCCAACAATTGATGCATTTTCTGCAAGAGGGAAATCAAAGAATCCTGCCACGTATTTTTGCTGAAGAGAAGAATTAAGAGAGACATGAAATGTTTTTAAAGTACTTAAAGAGCTGTCATGTGGAGAAGAGAGTAAACTTTTTCTGTTTGTTCCAGAGAAGAGAGCCAAGAGCAATGAGTGGAAGTTACAAAGAGACAGATTTTGGCTTTATATCAGGGAAATGATCATAGGATCATATATTTAGAGCTGGAAGTGACTTCAGAGATAATTCAGTGCAACTTTCTCATTTTAAAGATGAGGAGAATGAGGTGCAGGGATATTGAGTGACTTGCTAGGGGTCACACAAACTGTGTCTAAGGTAGGACTTGAACTCGGTTCTTCCCTACTCTATTCAGTACCCTATATATTTTGTCCTTTATTTGCCTAAAATTAGAGCTATCCAAAAGTGGAATGGACTCCCATAATAAATGATGGATTTCTTATCTTTGGAGGTCTTCAGCAGAGGCTAGATGTGTAACATTAGGGATTTCCTTTGCCCACGCAATTTTACATTTTCTGCTAACTCAGCACAAGAGGGCACTATAGCTTAGCAGAATATATAGTCTATTCTTTTTACAAAGGACATTGATATTAGCGGCATTAAGACCAACAAGAAGTCCCACAAACTACAGTATAGAGTATATGTCTAGGGGTAGCAACAATAATGATGTCACCAACGAATTAATCTGATAATATATTCCTGAAAAACAAAAAGACAATTCAGTAGAGACTGATTTTTTTTTAAAGTGGATAACTTACAAGAAGAAAGTAGTAGGTTTTTGTCTAATATAATATATTATTCATTGAAGCTGAACCCTTTCTTTGGAAAGAAAACTGTTGTCATCAACTACCACGCATAAGATCTCCATGACTTTATGGCTGAGCATTGCAAGTCAACAGCCAACTGTTAATGAAATGCTGTCTTACCATTGAAGCCATCCTGGTCAAGATCTCCCAGAGGGGCAATAGCACTACCAAATCTGGCAAAGATCTCAAAGCCATTCAGTTTTATGATCTGAAAACCTCCTGAAGCTTGCTGCAGGCATATGGAGACCTGACCCACTTCCTGAAGTTTGCCATCAGACCCACGATCCATGAAGAGAGGAGCTCCAATAAACACATCTGCATAACTGTAAAGAAAAGTCTTTCAACATGCATATAGTTTTGCGTATACATATCAATAACAAATTTTCTACTTGTCACTAACTTATCTCTCCTTTTTGCATCTCCCACAACTATGCAGACACATGAAGTGATCTCTAGGGTGATCATTTCAGCTTCGTGTCTGCCTTCAAGTCTGTGTAGCATCTGCAAACTATTTGTACAATGAGTTCATTTCTTGATACTAGAAAGATTAACAGAAAAGCAAAAGATCTGTCTCCAATTAGGAGTACAAATTATGTGACCATATTAAACATTTTTAAGATAAAGTGTGTTTTACAGAACTGCATGAGAGAGAAGTGTATCCAGAAACAGAAGAGGGTAAAAAAAAATTACTCTAAACCAATTTATTTAGACTTAGTAAAGCTATTCATAAACAATGAGAGAAACTGTTTTGGGAAACTTTTTTTTTTTAAGAAAAACTTACTTATCCCCATTAATGTCAGTGGCAGCTACAGAAAATCCAAAATATGCAGCCATCTGGATAACAAGATGAAAATGATATGTTAAAATTCCATCTAACTGGTTTATAGATGCCATTTTTATCTTTTATTTTTCAAACAGAATAAAATGTTTTCACATGTCTTCAAATCTTCAAAATATTTATGTTCCCCCTCCATTATTATCATCCTTTTAAAAAAAAACCAACAATTTGGTAATAAGGTACATATTTGCTTTCCCTAAGTCTGTGACAGCAAGAACATGAGAATCCTAAATAAACATCATTGAAATGACTCTGAGGTTCTGCCATTTGTCACAAGGTCTTATCATCAAGAACTGCCATTTAACTACATCTGTGGGGGATTTCCTTCCTGTCTTGCATTCTTTCCCATTACTCTGAAACTCACACACATTTCTTTTTTAGTTGAATTCTGGAAGCTGACATTTCTCATATAGAAAATAAACTCATATTAAAAAGTGGCAATTGCCACTTATGGGAAAACTTAAAAGTGAATAAAAACGAATTTTTTTAATTGCTATTTTAAATAAATTGTCTTTTGAAGAGAGGTGGAAATTTTGTTCCTCCTTATCAACCACTTTGCTAGTTTATTTTATGGTTATATTCCACTAGATTCACTCTTTTATCCAGTGACATTCTCTCCCAAATCCACAGAAGGGGGATTTGGATATTAATGTATATTAATTCCAAATCCCATTTAGATTGCTATAAAGCTAATATCAAAGTATTTAATACAATGGCATTCTCAGTGGCCAAAAATGTGTTTCTCTAACCTAAAAATTATTATTGTTTTAGTAATTTATACTTTAATGATATTGATTACTTTTTCCTATATATTTTCTTTAGGATTTTGTATACTGCTCTATCTCAGTTCTCCTTCTCCTACCTGTCTCAACTCTCCTTCACAGTCTCCTTTGCTGGATCTTTATCAATGTCATGCCTACTAATTGTCTGTATTACCCAAGACTCTATCCTGGGTCCTCTCCTCTTTTATCCATATGTTACCTCTTTTGGTGAGTTGATCAGCTTATATGAGTTCAATTATCATCTCTATGCAAATTATTTTTATATTTATATACAGCATTAGTTTCCCTCCTAAATTCTGGTTCTAACTGGGTAGAGGGAAGCAAATAAGTAATTATTATTGTTATTATTATTGAATATGATGATAGCTTACATTTATATAGTACTATAATAAGCACTATATAAGGCACTGTGCTAAACACTTTACAAATATTATCTCATTTGATTCTGACAACAATCTTGGTAGGTAGGTGCTATTATTACCCTCATTTTACAAATGAGAAAACTGAGGCAAATAAAGGTTAAGTGACTTGACCAAGGTTACACAGTGTCTGGGGTCAAATTTTAACTCAAGACTTCCTGATTCCAGATCCAGCACTTTATCCACTGTGCCACCTAGCTGCCTATATATTGGACATTTCAGGCTGGGTAGGCATCTCAAATTCAACATGTCCAAAACATAACTATCCTTCTCCCTAAACTCCCTCTCCTGAATTTCCCTATTACTATCAAGAGCACCACCACTCTAGTAGTCACTCAGGCTCACAAACCTCAGTGTCATCTTTGACTACTCATTCTCATATGCCCAACATATCTAAACAGTTACCTTCACAATATCACATATGCATGTCCCCTTTTCTCTGTTCAGATAGCCACCCCTATAGTTCAGACCTTTATGACCTCTCACCTAGAACACTACAATGACCTTTTTATTAGTCTCTCCTGACTCTTTTCATGCCAATCTATTCTCAAATAAGCTGCGAATGATTTTTCTAAAACTTAGTTCTTCCTACCCTACTCAATAAACTCCAGTGACTCCTTACTTATTACAAGATCAAATACAAAATCCATCGTTTGTATTTTATGCTCTTTACAGCTTAGTGCCTTCCTAACTTTCCAGTCTTCTTCCATTTTACTCTCCTCCATACACTCTATAATACTGTCATACTGAACCATTGGCTGTTTTCCGCATATAATACTCGATTTTTCATCTCCAATCTCCTATCTCTGTACTGGATGTCCCCTGGTGATGAAATTCTCTGCCTCCTCACCTCTATCTCTTAGAATCTGGGGCTTCCTTCAAAATTCAGATCATACACCTACCTTCTGCAGGAGGTCCTACTCTAAGGTTTCCTTCCATCTACTGTGCACGTATTTTTTAATTTACCCTAATAAGTTACATGTTTTCTCCCTCATTAGAATTTAAGCTCCTTGAGGTCATGAAACATTTTTGCCTTTCTTTATAATCTCAATGTTTAAATAATAGTGTTGGGCACATAGTATGTACTTAATGCTTGATTCTTTCATATATGTTAAAGGATTTATTTTTAAATTATTTGAATAGGTATTGATTAAACTATTTTATTATTTTGCTATTCTTTTCTTTTAAAATTATTTAATTGGCTAATTCTGTTATGTATATAATACAGACTGTTTCAAAATGTCTTATATGGGAAGGGGAAATTTGGTGCTTTAAATTTTCTTTTGATTGAAGTAAAAAGCTTTGTTTTGAACAACAGACAAAACAAAGTTTATACGTATTACCCAACGTGCAAATATGGACGTACCATGGTCTTCTAGGTACTATACTAAAAGATAGGTATCAAGACTCAAAAATTTTACTATATAACAAATTAAGAAAAGAATGATATTTTTCTGCCACAGTTACAAAAGGATCTCCTTAAACTAATTATCCTGATATTAAAAATAAAAGAAGGCCTTAACTGCCAAATTCAGAATATCATACATTCATTATAAAAGTTGGAAACATATATTTTTAAAAACATACACCATATTTTTATATGTATGTTTGAATATATGTATTATGTACATATGTATATATATTTTCAGTTTATTAAATTAATATATATTAAATATGAAGCAATTTAAGAGGCTTACCTGTTCTCCAGTAAAATTATACAAAGAAGACATATTTTTTCCATCATAAATATAAACCTGTTTAGGATAAATGAAATTTTATAAAAATGTTATAAAACATGAGATGATTTAACTTCGATAAAGGCCAGAGTTTAATTTTCCTACCATTCCCAATGTCCTTGCAGCTCTCGGGACTCCAGAAACAAAGTCTGAAAAAACACAGTGACTTTAATTACTGAGATGAGTATAACTAAGTTTATGGTTAGTAGGAATCTGAATACTAGGAAATATTTCATTTTGTTGGTTTCTTTTTTAAATAACAGAAACAAAAAAACTAAAATTGATGTGCTGACTTCTTGCTGTGGTTAAGGATTCATGTTCAAAGTAATACCAGTTATTAATAAAGCCCAAGACCAAATCTTTCTAAAACTCTTGAAAATAACCAGTGTGTACATCAGAGGATATATCCCTGTCCTCATAAGATCTAACTGAAGAGACAACATGGAAAATAAAACACATAAGAATAATACAAAGAATATGTACTTGGGTATAAAATAATAAGAGGGAAAATTGAGTAGAGAAATGCAGAGCAGACAGTATTCCAAATTAGATGGAGTTAGTAATTCAAGACATTGCAGAATAAGTGTGAAGGAAGACTGATGGGGATTCAAAGGCAAAGTTTAGGAGAAATAAAAGGGTATTACAAATGAGGGAAGTGATATATGTAAAGGCGGGGGAAATTTATAAATTATTCGGTAATGTTAAGAAAGTTAGCCTACAGGAGAGGAATGTATAAGAAAAGTTAATACAACGGCTATTATTATGGAGAGGCCCAACATAGCTAGTTGATTCAACTGTAAGGCTGCAGATAGCAGTGAAGCCTTGGTAGACTAGAGCAGTAGCTGCTATGCAGGAAAGTGTTACCAGTTGTATTTAAGAAGGAAGAAGCTAGAAACTTTCATTAGGTTGGCAAACCTTTCATCTTTTAGGCAGTTTATATAGTTTTAGAGTGAAAGTATGACCCACATAAATTGCAGGGGCTCATTATCTGGGTTTTACCAAGAGAAGAAACTTCTCTGAACTAGATGTATGTTTATGTTGATTCCTAAATTCTATAATCTGAAAGAAAACAGGGGAGAACATGTCTACCTGTGTCTTCCCCAAGCGTTTGATATCACGTAGCAGGGAATAGTGCCATTTCTACTTGGTAAAGGATGTCTGTTCTGAGTCTATAATAAGGAGGCCTTTCAGATTTAGTTTTGGACAACTCTTGTTTGGAAATAGTACCCACCACTCAAAGAGCATGTTTTGAGAGTCTAAACATAAAAATAAGTTTTGTTTTCTTTTTTTTTCTTTTTTTGCGGGGGAGGAATGGTGTATGTGTTTCTATCTGTTGGAATATAAGATTGTTAATAAAGCTTGAATAGTTAAGCAAAGCAGTTTATATTTAAGGTGCGGACAATGGGTACCACTGTAAATTCCTAAGAAGAGCAACAGAGTAAATGATGGCATTAATCCTATATTACTTAAGCCTATGGAGGGATGAGAATTATAGTTTTGAGGAAGCACTAGAGAAAAATAAACCTAGACTACATTTTTAAAAAGTCTAGAACAGGCCTGTGCCACGTGCAGCCCACCAAAGAATTTCTTCTACATACAAAGGATATTTTTTCCTGCCCGAAATCCTTTGGAGTGGGCCGTAAGCAGCCACAGATTGCGCAGGCCTGGTCCAGAATTATCCTTAACATACTAAAATGTACATTTTTGCATTGTTTTATTCCATAATCATGATATTTCTAAACCTATTTTCACCACTGCAATCTCTAGCCATCACATGCTCTGAATACTTAAAAACTTTAACCACATTTATTTTATTTATTTTGCTTTTTGGTGAGGCAATTGGGGTTAAGTGACTTGCCCAGGGTCACACAGCTAGTAAGTGTCAAGTGTCTAAGGCCAGATTTGAACTCAGGTCTTCCTGACTCCAAGGCCAGAGCTCTATCCACTGCACAGCCTAACTTCCCCTTCCCCATGTTTATTTTTTTTAAGAAAAAATTTCATACCTTCTATGCCATCATCATTGAAGTCCCCAACAGCCACGGAGTAGCCTAAACAGAAAACAAAAAACAACAAACTATAAGATTTTCTCGGACTTTGATACAACTTTTAAAAATTCTATAATTCTACTAATAATTTAAATTATTATTATGATCAGAGTAGCAAAATGTACATATTTGATATATACATATAAGAAACAAGATTTTGTTTGTTTTTTGGGGGTGTTTTTTTTTTTGGCTAGGCAATGGGGTTAAGTGACTTGCCCAGGGTCACACAGCTAGAAAGTGTTATGTGTCTGAGGCCAGATTTGAACTCAGGTCCTCCTGACTCCAAGGCCAATGCTCTATCTACTGCACCACCTAGCTGCCCCTAGAAGCAAGATTTTGAATAAGAGCAATTGCACTAAATACTTCAATAGGATGCATCCATTAGAACAATATATTGATGATCTACCTTAACTTTATTTATATGGCTTAAGCTGCAAGCAAGACCAAATTTTCAGTCACTGATCCTGACAGAGGAAAGGGAATCACTGAGCTAATAAGCCAGATTTTCTCTGCTTAGTAAGTTATCGTTTTTATCTTTTCATGTTCATATATAGCTTTTGAAGGAATGTTAGTTATGAGAGATAATCAGATTCTATGTGTATACTCCACCTTAAAATAAAAATTCTCTAATTTTTTAAGGAGAAAATCTTAATTAAAGTAAAGAATAGGCGAATACTGACTTTGCATGGAATGAAGACACTTTATTTCATTATTAGTATAAAGATGTAATTTGCTGAAATGTACCAAGGCCGTGAAGTATCATGTATCCCACATGCTGTTTATAAAATTCATACTGGATATCATTTCTAAACATTCCAAGATTTCATACAGGAAAACAAAGCAAAATTCAGTCCTCTTCTTATTGCATAGTGCCTGGCACTAGGCACTTAATAAATGTTTAATATCAATTGATTGCTTGGTTAATATTTTAAATAATAATAGCTAGCAATTGCAAAGTGCTATAATTTGCAAAGTACTCTACAAAATTATCTCATTTAATCCTCACAACAACCCTGGAAAGTAGGTGCAATTATTCTCCTATTTCACAGCAGAAAAAATGGAGGCAGACAAAGGTTAAATGCCTTAACTAAGGGTCACATGGCCTCTAATTGTCTGAAGCTAAATTTGAATTCATGCTTTCCTGACTCCAGGTCCAATGCTCTATCCACTGTGCCACTTAGTGACCTCTGTTACAGTTATTAAGAGTTTGTCTCTACCAAAGGGCATTAGCTACTTAAAAAGGATAAATCTGCTCCAGTCTCATCAGCACTCTAACAAATACACATACTCACACACCAGAAAAAATAAAGGCCTCTTTAAGCCAGTGGCAAATTATCATTTTTATTTCATTTCATAAGTACTATAAATATTAATTTCATAATTACTACTATTACTTATAATACTTATTTCATAAGTATCATGTATATTTCATATTTTCATGACATAGTTTCTACTCTGTTATTACACCAAAATTAATAGTTAATAGAATAGAAAAAAACAAATGTAAGCCAATATAATTTGAAAACCTGAGATGAAAATAATGTCTACAATATGAATACATTGATTAAAAGAAATTTGATGGAAAAGAAGCAGCTCACATTTATGTCATGCTTTTCAAAATATTTCCTAATAACTGAGGTAGACAGTAAAAATATTATTGATTCTTTTTGTACAGATAGAGAAGCTGAGTCTCAGAGAGATGAAAAGATATGTCCAAGGTCACACAGCTCAGATTCAAACCCAGGACATCCAACTCTACACCGAATGCTCTTTGCTAAGTTCTTCAGTGCTCAAAAAAAGAAAACAAACTTTCACAAATATGTTCATGGTAATAATAAGTCATATTTATGTTGTATCCTAAAGTCATAAAGTAATTATAGGTAGAACAAGTAATGCCATCACCCTGGCTTAACCACCTATTACATTATCTTAATTAAATCACTTGAGCTGCCAAGAGCCTCAGTTTTCTTAACCATAAAATAAGGGGGGGTGGTTAATTAGATGATCACTAAGGTTCATTCCAGATCTAGATCCTATGATTTTCATTTTATAAAATGAGAAAACTGGAATTCAGACAACTTAAGTGAATTAAAGGAGAGGGCAGCACCTTATTGTACAGAGGGCACTGGAATTGAAGCCAGGTAAGATGCCAGCTAAAATCCCACCTCAGACACTAGCAATTTGACCCTAGTTAAGCAACTTAATCTTTCTATGCCTCAGTTTCCTCATTTGTAAAGGAGTGGAGGTTAGACTTGATGGCATATAAAGTCTCTCCTAGGTCTAAATCTCATGACTTACCTGTGGCCAAACAGCTAGTGTCACTTTTAGAATTTAAATTCAGTTATCTCCTCTCTCCAAGTCCAAGGTTCTTTCTATTTTGCCATGCTGTCTCTCAGTTCAACAGCAAAAAAACATTGAACATTTTATACAACATTCGTAAACTAACTAGAACAGAGTGAGGTGTTTTTTTTCTTCTTCAAAGGATTCTATTTGGGAGGTGAACGATTTATGAATAAACAAGAGATAGAGAGCAAAGTTAAATGTAAAATGGGTAATTTAGATCACATTAAACTGAAAAGGTTTTGTGCAAATAAAACAAATGTATCCAAGATCGGAAGGAAAGCAGAATACTGCCAAAAAAATTTATAGATAGTTTCTCAGATTAAGATCCCTTATCTAAAATATATAAAGAATTTTGTCAAACCTATAAGAATATGAGTCATTCCCCAATTGATAAATAGTTAAAGGATATGAATAGGCAGTCTCCAATGAAAAAATCAAAACAATTTATAATCATATGAAAAAATGCTCTAAATCACTATTGATTAGAGAAATGTGGATTAAAACAACTTGATATATCATTTTACAACTATCAGATTGGCTAAAATGATTGAAAGGGGAAGAGATAATATTGGAGGGGAGGGGGAAAAATTGGGACACTAATTCATTTTTGGTGGAATTGTGAACTGATCCAACCATTTTGGAGAGCAATCTGCAATTATGTCCAAACAATTATTACACTACCTATACCCATTGACCCAGCAATACCACTACTAGGTCTTTTTTCCAAAGATGATTAGCGAAAAAGAAAAAGAACTTATATGTTCCAAAATGTTTATAGTGGCTCTTTCTGTGGTGGCAAAGAATTGGAAATTGAGGGGATGCCCATCAATTGGGGAATGGTTGAACAAGTCATGGTATATAATTGTGATGGAATACAATTGTGCTATAAGAAATGATGAGCCCAATAGTCTTATAAAAACATGGAAAGACTTGCACAAAATAATGAAGAGTGAAATGAGCAGAACCAAGAAAATATTGTATACAGTAACAGCAATATTGTTTTAAGAACAACTTTGAGCTAATAAGTTATTCTATTATAAATACTCAAATTAACTATAAAGGACATAGGAAGATGCTATCTGCATCCAGAAAAATAACTGATGAATAGAAGTATGTATAGAATAGTTTTACACACACACACACACACACACATATATGTATATATGTAAACATACACCTATTTGTATCTAATGGTGGCTATCTCTGGGGGGGAAGAAAAATAAACAAGAAAAGGAAAAAAATTTACATGATTACTCGTACATTTAAAAGGAATAGCAAGTTGTACAAAGTAGATTTGTAGTTTTGTGTGCAATCATCTTTTTTATTATACTGTTATTAAAATGCTTATTTTATTCCACAAATTAAAAATAAAATAAAATTCTAAAAATAGGATTACATATTTTGAATACTTACCTAGGTAGCTGTCATCAAAAACAGCCTGAGCTGTCCGAGTTGCTAATTGGTTATTGTATTTGATGCTGTATACACGGGGGTCATATTTAGACACAATTTCTGCCACTTGATCAGAAATGAGCTGACCTAAAAAAATAAAAAGAATGTTGTGACTTTTCAATAGAGTTTCTCTTATGAACCTTTAAAAAAAAAAAAAGAGGAAAGGTTACCTCTTTGTTTTGTTTTGTTTTATTTTTTTTCCTAATGTCATCATTGGATGTTAGTTTGTAATACTACTTGGAATGCCTAAGCAAGAATCCAGCTATTCAACTCGTCAATCACACATGTGAAAAACAAACTAGAAGTCTGAAGACAAGTTTAATGAGATCTCTTCACTCATTCACAATTATTTCTTATTCTACCTACCAATTGCTAAACAGCTCCATGAAGATAAATTAGGCATTTAATGAAGTACATGGACTTGTTCAGCTTCAGAATGACACTGTTGTTTAAGGAAAGGGATCTGAAATTCTTCAGGCTATTCCTCTATCACTTCAAGCAAGACCTTAAAAAAAGCCTAGGATTTTTTTTCTTGTTGTTATTGTTGTTGTTGTTGTTGTGTGGGAGGGAAGTTTCCATGGTGCCAACCAATTCAAATAAGTTCTTTCACCAAATGATTTTATTTTGGGCAGTGTGGTTACATACACAGCCTCAAAATGCAGTGGAAAACATTAATTTTCTTGTCTGTACAGCTCTGGCTCTAAGTCAGTCCATGGGATACCCAAGTCAAGTCCATATGACTACAGACAAATGAGACCAGACCAGAAAAAAAAATAGGCGTTTGATTCACCATAGAGTTAGAACCCAGAAACACTAGTAGTTTCTCCATTTGTTCAATGTTAAAGGCAAAATTCTACAATTCAGAAAGATTAAGTTTTTTGTGTTTATCTAATTTGCTCATCAGGTAGCCATAACACAGACAAAACAATGAGGTTAAAGACAATAAATGTTATCTTTATCAGCATTTTCACTTATTACCATTTTATCATCCCATCTTCTATAGGAAGCCTTTCCCAAACTCTCTTAATTCTAGTGACTTCCATTTGTTAATGATTTCCTTTCTATCCTGTATATACCTTGTTTCTGCTTATTTGTTTGCTAGTTGTCTTCTCCATTAGAATGTAAGATCCTTGAGGGCAAGAACTGTCTTTTGGTGTTTTTTTTTTCATCTGTAGCATTTAGCACAGTGCCTAGCACAGGGTAGGCACTTAATAAATGTTTACTGGTTGATTTTCATAGCAGAACTCAAATCTTAATAGTCTTGTATATTTTACTACAATGTCTAGAATTAATTCTGTTTATTTTTTTTGAAGCACCAGTGACTTTCCTTTTACTAAAGTATTTTCTCATTCACGGAGTGAGTCATTGCAATTATTATTAAATCCTAGCCTCCATGTTATTCACATTATTGTTGCCAACAATAATAAAAACTTCATTGAACATTACATCAACAGTTGAGAAATCTTTTTAGAGACCTTAGCATAGTTCAGATATATAATGTGCAGAAATGCATCGACAAACATCACTCAAATAAATACTCACATTTTATTTACAAAATTTCAAACAGAATAACTCATCTAAGGCAATTTTTTAAATACATCACCAGTCATGTCACAAAAAGAGAAGGGTTAATAAATAACTCTGATGGGTAAGCTCAAAATCTATCTTCCTGACAGTGTTTTGGCTCACAGACCTACCCATGTTTTGTTTCCTCCTCTCCCACAGCATGCCAGTCTGTTCATGTAGGCAGGCAGTGAGTGGGGGTGGGGAAGGAGGGCAGAAAGGGAATGAATTTTTTTAAATCCCATGTGGAAAGCTCAGAGATTTAGCACCTTCCATTGCTCTGTTTTTAAAACTGTCAAAGTTTTAGTTCTGTGTTTCAGTAAATTGTTTCATTTTCCCTTTAGGTGAAATATAAAGAATTTATAAAATTCAAATCAAAATATGCTAGTGTAGCTGATGTTCTCTACTAACATCCTCCTATTCCCTGATTTGCATTTTTCAGTCTCTTTATTCCCCATCCAACTTCCTTATCCTTTTTTTCCTTATTTATTCCATATTTTCCTCTTCTTCAATTAATCTATTTTTTATTCCCCTTTATCTATAGAAAGTCTGAACTTATGGTTGTCACTAGAACAAGTCTATTTAGGCTAGTAAAAGAGGAGGTTGGGGTGAATGTGGAACAGGGTATTATTTATGGATTAAACAATTAAAAATTGCACTCTGAGGATCCTTCCAGAAGCATTAGAAATGGCTTCTACTTGCAACTCACACAAATGTGAAGATACTATTTGGAAATCTCAAAGCTATTTTCATGGAAAAATTCAATTCCATTCAACAGCTGAAAAACAGTCATTAGCTCTCCATACAGAAAGAACAGCCTCTCTGGTCCTCCAATGATCAAGGGAAGAAAGCAAGGAGAAGGGAACAGAACACACCATGTATGTATATGTGCATGCACCGGATGGATAGATTGATGCATGCATACATGTCTACGCATGTATGTATATTCCTTTCTAAAAAATTCCTTATCTTAAAAAAAATTGTTCATATTATTGATTTGTTTAGCAGAATGTACAGAAGCCAGCTCCAAAATTTTCAGTGTGAACATTTATAGCCCTAAAGTCAATAAATGCTACAAATCAGGGTTTGATTAGCTGTTTTGTTGATTGTCTAAACTTAAGAAAGTAATGGAGAAAATGCTAATAAAGGAGACTGAATGATTTAAAAGCCTGCCTTGCATTTTCTAGAAAGCTTGTTGGTAAACATTTAGCTGTATACCCTTGGCTAAATTCTATCACAAACAGTAATACCTCCAGGTTAATGACCTAAGAGTTTGTTTCAGAAACCTTGAATTTTAATTTCTTAGATCTACAATCTAACAATGTATGCCTTTTACCTAAAGGTCATCTCTGTTTAGCTTGAACAGTCTAATCCAAAACTTTCTTAACAATTGCAAGCTATGTCTTTCTTAACGAATGCAAGCTATGTAAAGAAAAAGGATCTAATACTTTATAGTCACATGAAGGCACTAAGAATTACAAAAAACCGGAATGCTGCCAACAACCCTTAGTTTCTTTAAAAGAAATGCTTGCTCTTTGTCTAGGGTATAAATTATCTCTATAATTCACTCTTTCCCAAAGACTCACGCAGAGAAAGTCTAGATAACTGAAAAAAAAAATGATTCATCTTAATATGACCAAAATCCAGAATCTGGATAATTTTCTGTTATGACAGTTTCTGACTCTACCAAATGCTGACAAAACTCAGATATTAATGTCCCCGTGAATTATACAAAATCCTGATTTTTATAAGCAGAAGATCAAAGAGGCAAAAATAAATTAAATATTTAAAAACTACATGGAAAATGAAGTTGGAAAAGAAGTTACCTATTCATTTTTTTAACCATTCATTTATATGAATTCTATTTACATTTTGTTTCATAGCCAATGGTAAAAGCTATGAATTGTTTAAATAGTATTTTTAAAAAAGAAACCATACAGACCCATTTGATTAAGGAATGACTAAAAATATTTTAGTAATTAATATAATGGAATAGGGCAGCTCTGTAAAAAACAATGAATAGAAAAAGTTCCAAAAAGGCATGTGAAAAGTCATGTGAGCTGATACAAAGTAAAATGAGCAGTACCAGCAAAATAATTACTGTAACATAATGTAAATGAAAAGAACAACAACAGCAGAAAAGGAAAGTGAACACTGTGTAATTAAGGTAACTTAGATTGGCCCCAAAAAAGAGACTTAAAAAAGCACCTCCCTCCCTTCTTTGCAAAGGTGGGTGGACTATGGGTGTAGAACATTGTGTATACTACCAGACTCAGTTGCTATGTTGGTTAGTTTTGTTGAATAGTTCCCCCACACACTTTTTTTTCTTCCTATTCTTTGTGACAGGAAATAGCTTAGTGGGTGGGAGAGGAGAAAGAGGAAGGTAATATTCATATGTAAAGGTGATATAAAAATAAAAAATATCAATAATAATTTTAAGAGACCATCCAGGGTAGTTCAAGAAAGCAGATGCCTCTCGTATATGTTCTTTCTTCCTCAGTGAATGCCACATTTGATTTCAGTGATTAGTAAATAAAATTTTCATTTAAAAAAGCTATTACCTTTATTTAAAATATTTTAAACCCAAAATTCAAAATCACAAATTGAATATGCATCTAAGCACATAGCAACAACATTTAGGTTAAATGGCTTTTAAGAAGCTAAATTTTAGTCTTTGAGCAACCATACAGCAGTATCATATTTATTCACTTAGTTATAACACATGTAGCAACTATACAAAACACACATCATAAACTTTCTCAAATTACATGTATCACCTTTCCCATCTTTCTAAAATTGGTAGAGGAAGAGTGTTGAGTCACAAAAACAATATTTCCCAATTCTTCTCATATTTAATTTGGAAACTCATATTTTTGAGACAAAATAAGTTAGCAAAAGTTAATATCAGGTATTGAACAATTTGATTAACCTACCTTGCCAATAAAAACTGCCAGGACCTCCCAGAAGTACTCTGTCTGCCTGGGGAGGGGGGAATTATGTAGAAAAAAAATTCTTTTAAAAAGATATAAATTTCAAATTAACAAAATTAATAAATATTGGATAAATTAAAGTAACTTTAAAATTAAAATTCATTCTACTCTCAGGTTGGGTAACTGTCATCTTTACTAAAACTTATTTTATAAACAAAAAGGAAAGTAAAAATACTTTCTCTTAACTCAACATTATCTGCCTATTACTTTTTCCACTACATCAAGGATGGCATATCAGTATATATGTTGATATAAAAATGAATCCTCTTACCTTGACTGTATCTGCTAATCTAACATGGGGGTTTTCTGTTATTATACTTTGATTATCAAAGTTTGTGACTACATAGCCAAATTTCCCATCCTGATGACTACCAAAGGAATTTCCTGCTTCATTGGAGGGAAACTCTTTTTGGTACCTATGGCAACTCTCTGATAGAATTAGAGGAGAAACTGAAGGGCAAATTTTTCAGAGCTTACTGCAGATAATCTATTGCTAACTTGCCTAGTCCTACTCTGTGGCCATTACTAATTGCAGAAAATTAATTGAGTGTATTAGACACAAAGTATTTACTGTTTCATCCTAAGATTTTTTTCTTAAATCTTAGACTTTGTTGAGGACAAATCCACCCTCCCAAAGTCCAAGTGACTCTCTTTCCAATAGATCACCACTGTTAGAGCAGTATAACCAGATGATACTAAATTATTAGTAAAATGGTCTCCAATTAAAACTTTGTGATATTTGGCTTTATAAATTATTTTAAAAGAATAAATTGAGCATCAGAGTTATTGTATATGGAGTAAGAATATTTCTAGTTGAACACGGACCTCGGAGTCAGTAAGACCTGAGTCCAAATGTGGCATCAGAAACATAATACTCATTAGCTGTGTGACTCTGGGCAAGTCATTTAACCCCAATTGCCTCACAAAAAAAAATATAAATTTCTAGTTGTTGTAGTACTATAAACATTAAGAAAAAATAAGCTGATCTCTTAAAATTTAATTATTTTATTAATGTAAAATTATGTATTTTGTGGAGACACCTTAGCATTTGAATCATGAATACTTCATTGGTATATGAAGTTAATAGGGAATGGATTATTTAACTAATATAGGCAAACAGCATAAACATTTCCCTTCCTAAATGAAATGTAAGTAAAAGGATAAGAACAAAATATTAATACTTTATTAAATTTTTTAAAAAAGATCATAAGACTATGGTGTCTCTGGTTTTCATTAATTTGGCTTATTATAGCTCCTCTTTTCTCACAGTCTACAAAAAAGTCATATCCTGCTTGTTCTGTTTTTAATCAGTATGTTCCTGAGTTACTTGGAGCATAACTTACTGCACTGAAATTTATTTTTTAAAAAAATTTGAAAATTTGATAGAGAGAAAAGAAAACATATAAATAAACATTTAAGAAAACTCTCTTCTTTGCTTGGATTTTTTTGTCTGGTTCTATAGAGATATCCTGGTGATTGGATATAAAGGTGGGGGAAGGAGTTATGGATAATTCTGAGGTTTATGACCATGGGACACTGAAAGAATGGTAGTAACCTCAACAGAAAGAAGAAAATCAGAAAAAGGGAAAGGTCTTCATGTAACAGGCAAAATTCTGTTTTGGATATATTGAGTCGGACATGTCTCTTGGATATCCCAACCCTAAATGTCCAACAGGAAGTTGGTGATATGTGACTAGAGCTGCAGTGAGAGATCTCAGTAAGAGATAAACCTATGGGAAGTGATGAGGTTATTGAGGTAGTATAAAGATAGAAAAATAGGGCCTAGGATAGAGCTTTGGTATATACTCACAATTAGAGAGCATAATATGGATGATGAAAACAGCAAAGGAGACTGAGGAATCATTATATAATTTCTATAGGTCCCTTCAAGCTCTAAATCTTTGATCCCATGATTTAGTAACTAAAAGATGATTTGGTAACTTTAGAGAAGTAGTTTCAACTGAGTAAATCAGTGGTCAGACTGCAAAGGGTTTTGAAGAGTGAGACAAAAGGAAACATATAATTAGTATAGGCCAACTTTTTTCAGGAGTTTGGACAAAAGAATTTTAGCTTTATGGATGGTAGAGTATGGTGAAGTTTTCTGCTGTTTTTTAAGATGCGGGTATGTTGGAAGGCAGTAGAGAAGGAGCAGTAGATAAAGAGAGGTTAAGATTAGCAAGAGAAGGGGGATGATTAAAGGGGCAATCTGCTAGAGAAAATAGGAGGGGAGGAGATCAAGAACTCATGCGTTGGCACTGTGGAGAAGGGCTACTTCAGTAACAGGGATTAGAGGAAAAGAGGAGATATGTTTGGGGGGTTTGAAGTTAAGAGAAGAGGCAGCTCACACTGAATGGCCTCAATTTTCTCAGCAAAGTTAAAAGAGGAGATCCTCAGCTAAGAAGGTGAAGGGAAGGTAGGAGGAGATTTTAGGACAGAAGAGAAGGTTCTTCTGTGGGGAGTGGGATAAAGAATCGATTAGGGAGGAGTAAAAGCAATGGCAACCTAGTTAAGATTAGGTAACATAAATAAGATTACATAACACAAAGTAGTTTTGTCCCAATTTGCAGATCCAATTTGCATGTAGAGTGGAGAAGATGAATGGTAGGAGCAATTGAAAGCTGGAGTTTGGATAGGGATGAATGCTGATAAGACTTGGATGCAAGCAATTTGAGAGTTGAGGATAAAGTAGAGTTGAATTTGTTAACTATAGGGTCAAGATTAGAAAGGATGGAAAGTGAAGTTTTAGGAAGAATAACAGTCAAAAGGTATGTTTAGAGCTCTCTTCTCCCAGCTTCATGATCCCATCAACTCTCATGGGTTTAATTATCATTTTAATAGAGATGATCTAGGTTGAGCTGTAGTCTCTCTCCAAAGCTACAATCATGACTTCTAACTGCCTTCTAATCATGACTTAATAATACAACAATGTTACCAAGAAAGCTTCTGCCCAAAATAAAATTTGACTTAAATTTTAAAAAATAATTTCCATTTTCCTAATTTGAAATTTGACTATTAATGTTTACCAACTGTCTTTTGGACATGTCAAACTGAGTATTTCCTAGGCATCTCAAACTCAACATGTCCAAAGCAAAATGTATCAACTTTCTTCATATCATAAAGAGCACCATTCCCAGTAAACCAGGCTCACCTCACGTTAGTGTCATCCTCAAGTCTTATCAGTTCTAATAATGCATCCCCCTCTGCTCCCCTCACACAGTTACTACCCTGGTACAGGCACTCTTCAGCTCATTCTTCAATTACTGCAATGAAATTCTGATTGTTCTCACTGCTTCAAATCTCTCTCAATTGCAATCCATCCTTCATTCAGCTGCCAAAGTGATTTTTACCTAAAGTGCAGGTCTGATCATGGCATCCATCTATTCCAAAAACTCCAAGTGGTTTCCTATTTCTATCCAAGATCAAATGTAAAGTCTTCTGTTTGTCATTTAAAACCCTTCAAAATCTGTCCCCTTCCTATTTTTCTAGTCTGCTTACCCTTTAATCTCCTGAGATGCAGCTACATTGGTCCACTTTTCCATCTCCCAACTTTGTGCCTTTTCAATGACAGTCCCTCATGCCTGGACTGCTCGCTCTCTTTCTCTTCCACTCTACTTGGCTTTCCTCAGATGCCTTTAAGGTTCTGACCAAACCCAATCACTTCAAGAGTTTTTTATTCTTTCTTCTCCCTCCCTAGAAGTAATGCTATTAGTTTCTTCCCTCAGAAATTTCCTTCCATGTACACTCCATATATTTTGCATATACATAGCTATTTGCATGTTATACTACCCATTAGAAGGTGAGTTCCTTGAGGAAAACGAATGTGTTTTTGCTTTTCTTTACATCCCCAGAGCTTAACAGAGTGCCCACAGTAAGTGCTTGATAAATACTTGTCTGACTGACTGACATGAGAAAGTACTAAAGTTTAGAGTATGAAGAAAGGTTTAGGAAAGGTGAGGCACAGGGAGAGATGGAATAATAGAATTTTAGGGTCAGATAGAAGAATGTCAGAGTTTTTGATCAAGGAATTAGAACATTTGTAGGTAATGCTGAGATAAAGGGTGTGGCTTGGCTGAGCTGGAGTAGAAGAATTATTGCTCATGAGATTTGAGGAGGCTGAGAAACAAGGAGATTAGGGCATTTGAGGGAGCCATCAACATGAATGCTGAAGTCCCCTAGTATAATAGCAGGAGTTGGAAAGGAGAGGAAGATTTTGAGCCAAGTTTTGAACTCCTTGACATAAGAGAAAAAATGACCTTGGAGTTGGTAGACAATAGCCACTTTAAGGGTGAAAGCGATTAATAGAGTGATGTTTAAAGGAGAAGACATTGCTAAGTGATAGCAACAAATGGAACTGACAATAATCACATAGCCTATTTTATGACTTCGTGGATATTCGTTAACTGTTGTTGTGGCCAATTAGCCTAGGCCAATCCTTGACCAAAAGATTCCTATATCTCTAATCCCATAATATAATAATAGCTTAAAGAATTGATGATAGCTAAAGTTAAAGCAATTGATGAACATATTTTTTACTATCTATGCATTTCAATTATCCATACTATGTCTAGCCCTCCCATTACCATGGATAATAAATAAGATAGATTTTAGTTTCATCTAATATTGAATAAGGATTAATAACTTACCTTCGTAAAATCAATGCTGAATCCACCTTGACAAAATCCTTGTCCATCAGCATCAATATTTTCTAAAGTAAATATAGGGGGAAAAATGTTACATAAGTCATAAGAAAAACAACTCTGCCACAGTTAAAGAACTAATGATTTATTATTGTATTCCAGTAAAGACAACAGGCATCAAGTATTTTAGAGCTTTCTTATTGATAGGAAAAACAAAGATTAAAGTACTTGGATCAATGAATTAGGAACAGGGCTGAAAAAAAAACCTAAGATTCTTAGTCCCTCCCCACCCCTCCCCCGCCCTCAACTTAACTATTCCACTAGACTGAACTATGTCACCATTTAATTATCATAAATGCCAAAAAGGAGGTACTTAAAATTTCAATTGTATCTTCACACGTCTTGTACAAAGCTCCAAGATATACATCTAAAGGTTTATTACTAATCCAGAAAGACCATACACTTAAGTAGTTCAGAGTTTCAGGAGATGGTTATGCAGTATGCAAATGAGTAAGACTCAAAATGAGTTCTGAGGGGCTAATAAGAGGCATTTTTATAATTAAATACTTTCAAGGGATCATAAATATACAGCTGGAAAGGACCTCAGAGGCTATTTTCCCCTCCCATTTTACTGATGAGGAACCTGAGGCCCAGGAAGGTTAAGTGATTTTATATCTTTATATCTCCCTCAGTGCCTTGCAGTGTCTTATACATAGTAGATGCTCAATAAATGTCTGTTGAATTAAAAAACCTAACTTTCCTGGTGTCTTTTCTGTCTTACACTATACATACATACATACATACATACATATATATTACTCTAGTTACCAAAGGATTTTTATAAATTAAATAATATTAGTAAAAATTATTTAGCACAGTGCCTGAAACATACTAGGTACTATACAAATGTTTATTCCCTTCCCATTTCCTTTTCTTCCGTAATAGTAATGTATTTAAATAACAAATACACAACACTTTTACTGTTATATATACATACGTACATACACACACACACACACACACACACACACATACATACACACTGTGTTGATATATGAGAAACCAAAACCTTACCTTTTTCTAAAGCTTGAACCTTGAACACTCTTGAGAATATAACTTAATTGTATGCTATCTTTTCAGGATATACTCTAAAAATAACCCCCAAAAAATTATGTTCAGAGATTCCTAACTGATTTTTAATACTAGGGAGCTACTCAGTATCATTCATCTTAGTAATAAAGAGCAAAATACTACTACAATTCAAAATTTTTTCTGACCAAAAAGGTACTAGGAAAACATGGAGCTATACGGTTTCTGGAGCATGGTGAATCATTCTAAGCAATTCTGTTGTGACCTCAAGTCAACCATTGTATATCCATTGTTGTAGCTGCATCAGGAGACTATTTCAGGCTATTTGTGAAGACATTCTTTCTCTATTATTGAGCTGTAGGGATAATCGGTAGTGTTTGTACGATCTACACTTTCAAAAAAAATACTTTCTTTAAGATTTCTTGGCAGGTGAATATTAAATGAGAGAATTTACTTTTCAACATTTTAAAGGGTTTTGTTCTTAAGTCTTGTATATTTTAACAAAGTTTTTCGAATTGACCTCTACTCAAGATTAATGTTTAATTTTTTTTTCTCACTATTTCACTAAACTGGCATCAACATATATTTGGGTCCCTACATAATGTAATAATCAAGGGAATGAACAACTACTTCAAAGCCACAGATGAGGTAATTTCTAAACAAATCCTAATACATCAGAAAAGGTTTAGGGGAATAAAGAAAAAAGAAGAGTCTTGCTTTTAATAATGGAGCTAGAAAAATAATGTTGTAAATGTGTTTCAAAACTCAGTCACAGGGGCAGCTAGGTGGCGCAGCGGATAGAGCACCAGCCCTGAAGTCAGGAGTACCTGAGTTCAAATCCGGCCTCAGACCAAACACTTGACATTTACTAGCTGTGTGACCCTGGGCAAGTCACTTAACCCCAACTGCCTAAGCAAAAAAAATAAAATAAAATAAAAAAGACTCAGTCACCAAAGCTGATCTATATAGAAAGGGAAGATCTATATACGTGACCCTTAGCTCTCCTGAGCTCCAGTCCTTTCTCTCCAACTGCTTACCAAATAAAAGAATGGCCTCTGAGGCCATCTATCTAACATGTACAAGAATCTCCTCTCTAAATAACACCCCTGACAAGTGCTCCTTTAACTTCAACATTAATCTCTACCAAGGGACAATTCACCTCAAAGTTGCTGACCCATTCTACTCTGGAATAGTTCTTATTGCTTGGAAGTTTCTATTTCACCAAACCATAAAATTCAACCTGTCTAAAACTGAAATCATCATCTTTTTCTTCTAAACCTTCTCCATCTCTAAAATTCCCAAGCTCTCTTAATGGTCTCAACAGCATCTCAGTCACAAAGAATCACTTTTCTTTTTGCTGCCTGCCATCAATAACTTGCCTAATTCTGTTGACTAAATCTCTAAGACATCTTTTCTATCTAACCCTTTTTTTCAACGCATTTTGCCACCAGTGTGGTTGAGGGAGGTGATAATTGAGCCCCTCTTTCTAACCTCTTCTTCTTCAATCATTCCTCCATGCAGTTGCCAAAGTAATCTTCCTAAGGCACTAATCTGACCACATCATTTCCCCTTTTTAGAAACCTAATTGGTTTTTATGCTACAGGATAAAATATTTACCCTTCTCCCTGTCATTTAAGGACCTCCATGATCTGGTACCAACCTGTCTTTCTAGCCTGAATTCACATTAATGCCCTCATACAGTCTACATTTTAGCCACACTGAGGAAAAAAGGTTACCCAAAGTCACACAGGTGACAAATGAAAAAACTGAGATTAGAATCCAGAGCCCCTATTTCCTATTCTAATTCTTTTGTTCACTACACCTAAAAATGAGTCCTCACTTTTGGCCCCAGGAATTAAGTCCTATTGGAATGTATGACCTAAAGTAATGCAGGTCAGAGAAGAATTAGGCATGATCTTGATACAAGGCACTCTTGCATTTACTTTCAATTGTGAGGCTTTTACTTTGGGGGTTAATTATACTATTAAAAAACCCTCAGGAAGTGATTGTTGAAAACTAAAAATAAACAAATTTTTAAAAATCTCAAATCCAAATTGGGTTTACATTTTTGTTTCTTTCAAAGAAAGCTTTCCTTTATCACTATCCTGTCTCAGGAGTTAACTTTCATTACACTCAACAATAAAAAAAAAGAGAGAGAGAGAGAAATATGGAGGTCACCTTTGAGAGTCATATTCATTCATCCATTCAACAAATGTTCCTTGAGAGTCTACAGTGGGCATTTGATGGCCTAGGCAATTTCTTTCAACCAAGTCTCCATTACCTCCACCCCCTTTCAAAATTGCGGTATGGTCTTTACCAAGAAAATTTTATAAGACCTGACATTCCCCAGTAAGTTAGAGGACTAATCAGGTCATGGCAATGAATGTTTGTATCTAAACAGAAATGTAGTCTATCATCAATCATCAGTTTTTTAACCCACAACGAATAAAGAAAAAGAACATTCATGTGCAAACAATTTGTTGTGATAACTCATTTTTGTATCATGGACTCAGATGTTGCATGTATGAGAACACTTAGAAAACTGAGGCTTACTCTGTTTCAGCACTAGAACGTTGTGCTTTTATTTTAACTTGCGGATGGAAGTCTTCCTAAAATTTATTAATCAAACTCCTCTGGCTTCTTGAGCAGAGAACACTGAATATAATATATTTTTTTCTTGATATTCATCAATACTCCAAATATCAGTCATTATGCTGTACACAGTAGTGTAATGGATAGAAGACCGGACTTGGAAGCAGGAAGACCTGAGTTCAAATCTGCATCTTATACTTACTAGCTATGTTGTCATGGTCAAGTCACTTAATATCTAAGAACCTCAGTTTATTCATGTAAAACTATGACGATAGTAAAAGTACTGATTTCACAAGGTTTGTTATGAAGATCAAATGAAGTAATGTAGGTAAAATATCTTTCAGACCTTTAAAATACTTTATAAATGACAGATAAGATGATGATGATGATGCTTTTATAAGCTACTGAGGGATTCAGATTTTTTTTTGCCCCTGTATTAAGTGACCCCCAATTATTGTCTGTTTTAAAGTTCAAGTATTTCCTTTTCAAAATTTTTTTGTTTCTGTCAAAATCAGCTGTCCTTTCTCAATGTCATCAACGTACTTGTCCTATAAGAACTATGTTCTTCCAGTTTTCAAGTTCTAATCTGCCCTTGGCTTAAGACAACATAATAAAGATTGCAGGAATTGTGTTAATAGGAGTAAATAATTTTTGCTTTAGAGACTATAAAATAGTAAAGTGAATGGACCTTAAAACATGGGTTGTGCAGTTAATTTTCTCATCTAAGAGACCTTTTTATACCATTAGTAACTTTGAATACCTGAAATTGGTGGGAAATGGACCTCTAGATAAATAAGGTTTGCTGTACTTTAAAGGTGCCAATCCCAGAAGACTCCAAAAATAAAAATGAAAGAACAATGACTACATCTAAAACTTGGCCTGAAATAGGGACCAGACCCATGATTTCATTGATATAGGGAACTTCTGGGCAAGGAAAGTCCCTGTACCAGTGCATGCCTGCACCTTCTCTGCAACTTATACGCCTAGAAAGTGGCCTAGTTCACTGAAAGGTGAAGTGATTTGCCCAGAATCACACAGCCAGTATTTATCAGAGATGGGACCTGAACGTGGGTCTTCCTGGCTTTAAGGACAGCCCTCTATGCTGCTTCCCCAAAATTTGACCTCTACAAATAAAGCAACTCTAAGTTCAATATTAATGTATCTCTAGAAAGCAAAATCCAGCCTAAAAAGAGCTAGAAAGGAACCAGAAGGATAAAAACAGAACTTCAAGTTTGAAAACTGTTTTAAAAAATTAACCTTGAAACACGATTTATTCACACTAATTCTTAAGGACTCATTCTGTGATATACTCCCTGATTTTCTAATTGAGGGTAGACACCGCAATTAGGGAAATAACATATTTACCACATGTTTAGGAAATGTGATAAATGATAGAGGAAGATATCAGGTTCTTCCTCACAAAAAAGGTTGTGCAGAGTAGTTGCTCCCATTTGGAAAAGAACTTAAAGGCAAGGCTGGTTAGAAGAAAACAGACCAAAAGACTAGAAAGCAACAACAACAGCAACAATAATAATAATAGCTAACATTTGGTGCCAGGTATCATGCTAAGTGCTTTACAACTATCATCTCATTCGATCCTCACAACAACTCTGGGGGGTAGGTGCTGGTATTATCCCCATTTTACAGGTGAGGTACACAGTTAATAAGTGTCTTGAGTCCAGATTTGAACTAAGGTCTTCCTGATGTCAGGCTCAGTGCTACATCTGCTGTGCCATTTAGCTGCTCTAACACAAGGTTTCTTAGAAAGATCTGACATATGTGAATGTAAGTTGAATTCCTATTTTATTTGAATTCAATATTTATTTTATTTGAATTACTAGTTAGCATCAGAAAACTTATGATAAAGGAACATTTCATTCAATAGCTATTAGTTTGCTATTAAAAGATTAAAAGTTCCTTTGGATCACTGTATCAGAAGGGGCCTACGATGTGAAGAATATCACACGTGGACCTAGAAAACCTAGTTTCAAGTCCCATCTCCAAAAATGACTTTGTGTGTAACAGTAGGCAAGTCACTTCATCTGGCTGAAGCGGTTTCTTCTCTGTAAAACACTGATTTAATGTTAATTAATACTAATTTAACTGTCTCACTAGGCTGTTGCAAGGAAAGTATCCTCCACATATGCAGAATACCAACTCATTTGTAACTCAGCCTCAGAGCATTGCCTGGGGGTACTAAGAGTGATTCAACCAGGGTCATACCACAAGGCAGACCCATGCAGCCAAGTCCTAAGGCTGGTCTCCTAACCACTACACCATGCTAGTTCTCAGAAATGTGGTGGTGGTGTTATTATAAGAGGTAACCAACATACAATTCCTATACTTGAACTCACTAGGGCAAATTGGAGTTATGAGACTTTTTGTGTGATGATGATTACAGATGTGATTCCAAGATCACCTAATTATGTGAAGCACTATTCTAGAGGGTGAGAACTAAAATCTTCATGGGAAGGCCAGGCAGATTTGTCCACTGTACCCAGAGAGTGAAAGGATTATATTTATATCCAGATATTTTGATCCCACAAGAAAACATATTTAGTCACAGTCTTTATACCAAATTCATTTTGAGCAAATACACAAATTCTCACAAAATAAGCTTTATATCCCTTTCCTAAAAGTTGCTGCAGAGCACAAGGGAAGACTTTGTTTCTTTACGTACTTGACCGGCAGGGAGCATACTCAACAGTCTTTGTTCCATCTTGTAGAAAGCATGTTCCAACAGGTTCTCTCTCTTGTTTCAGTTCAGTCCTCCAATGATACAATGGAGCACAGGCCTGAAGTCAAAAGAAGCAAAAAACAGACAAACAAAAAACAGTATTGGTAAATATTAGTTTTTAAAATCATCTAAATTTTATTTCTCTACCCTTCACTTTCCACTATTAAAAATTAAGCAGGCAAAGCCACAATAAAAGTTAAACTGTTTAGGGTCATGTTGAACACATGAGAATTTGATAAATAAATGCTTGCTGAATGTAGAAAGGTTAAAAATAAGTACCTTTCTCATACCCTATTGAAGAACATATAAATTAATCCAAATAAATATCACTTCAAAGAAGTTAACATAACTTATTTCCAAAAAAAAAATTTTAATGCTTTTTGCTCAAATAAGAGTCAGTTTGAATTGACATAGATTATTTTTTTCTATGATGAACAAACTCCTTTAAATAGTTCTAAGAATAATTTGTTGGCTGAGAAATTGTTTTGTTGTTTTCAGAGATGTTTAAGTCAGAATTGCATGTAAGAAACATTGTTTTATTATTTTACATAGCAGAGACATCTGGAGAAAAGAATAATTTCATTTATTGGAAGAAATTTATTTCAATTTGCTATTTTTTGTAGCAAAATATACCAACTGACAAATGTAAAAGGCACTATGATATGATAGAGCATCTGATCTTGGAGTTGGGAAGACTTACATTCAAGTCCCACCTCTCCATCCCATATTGGTTATATGACTGGGCAAGTCACCTAAACTCTAAGTGTCCCCAAGCAAATCTCCTAGACTATTTGTATAGAGAGGCTACAAATCCAGGAAGATGTTTACTATGAGTTGTCTACGCAAATGAAAGTACAAGTTTGTTTTTTGGTTTTGGGGGTTTTTTTTAAGTAAGAAATAAAGATATTATATTATATGTGGATCATTTGCTTATTTCATTTTAGTCTGAAAGATTATAATACAAAACCTATCTTAATCTTCACTAAAGCAGAACTGTAGAAATAAAACCATCAATAATCTGCTCCCTCAGTTAGTACGGAAGATGAGGGTGGGAGGTTTCATAGCTTAATCGATAGATGGGCCTGCCCTTGAGTCAGAAAGTGTAGAGTTCAAGTCTGCCACTGACAGATGCTAGCTGTGTAACTCTAGGTGAGCCTCTTTGTGTTTCTAGTTAACTTTAGGACTAGAAATTACAAATCTTCATTAATGGAGAGAGTTTCTACGCCAGGAATTCATTACACCAATAAAATCCTGGTTCAAAAGAAAAAAAAATTTGATGTGGGGAAGCAGAAGCAGTTGTGTTAGCTATCAAGTTGAATAAGGAATGGGGGCCAAACTTAAGTAACCGCCGGGATTCTGACATGATTGGACAAAAGAGATAAACTATCTTTTGATTAGATGTCTTTGCAGCCTAGTTGAAATGAAGCCTTGTCAAAGAAGAACCTTAAATCCCATGTGGGTAAGGTAATATAACACATATAACAGAAGGGAAAAAACACATTAGGGATTTATCCACCATTGGGGGAGGTGGTATGGAGAGACTACAAAAATTAAAGATTCATTCGTCTAAGAAAACATGTTAAAATTTACCATTGCTACTAACACTGAATTACTTTCTTTTCCCCTGTTGAACACAGGGTAGAAACCCTTTCCTGGGATAAAGCCTGCTTTGATGAATTACTAAATAACTTATTTTGTTTGTTAGAAAGTAAAAGAAATTTTCTTTAAAATAAACTTGAGTTTCCTGACAAATTTTTTTAAAAATCTGAGATAGAAGGAATATGAAATGGTTCAGTCAGTTTAATTTTAAAGATATTAGGGACTTCCTCTCCCCTTCTATTGTATTATTTTATTACTGATGTTTTTTTTATTTCTTACAACTCATTAATTTATAAATGTATCCCTTCCCTTCCTCAGCAATCTTAACAAAGATTTAAAATGAAAAAAAAAATGTTCAACCAAAACAGTGACTACTATCTGAGACCAAAAAAAAAAATACCATACCCATAGTACGATCACTTCCATAATTAATAGAGGGCTTAACTGATATAGCAATAAATAAACATGATTTAGATAATATTATCGTGTTTGTACTACCACAACCCAACCACGAGCAATGACTATCCCTTCAATTATTAATTCATTTTTCATTTCTTTAAAGAATGTTTTGTAATCACATTTATATGTCTTGAATGTCTCTTGATAAAAAAAAATTACTCCAAGATTTCACGCATTTTGCAAAACTTTTGAATGGGATTTCCTTTTCTATATCTATTATTTTCTATTTTCTATACAGTCTATATTCTATGTAGTCTATATTTTCTATAGTCTAATTTCTATTATTTCTTCCTGCTTTTTAAAAACTGCTATGCAGAAATGCTAATGATTTGTGGATTTATTTTGTATGCTGCTACTTTACTGAAGTTATTATTTCAAGTAGGTTTTTTGAAAATTTTCTAGGATTTACTATGAAGTCATCGGCAAATGGGGATGATTTTGTTTATTCTTTAACAATGTTTAAGCCTTTAATTTCTTTTTCTTCTCACTAGAATTTCCAGAACAATTTCAAACAATAGAGGAAAGAAGGGTATTCTTACATTTTCCCTGTACTTGCTGAAAAGCTTTTAGTGTTTATCCTTTGCAACTAATTCTAACCTTTCATTTTAGATGTGTACATCTTATCATATTTTAAATGGTATATTCTCAAGTTTTATATCATTTTATTTTCATGAATGAGTACCATACTTTATCAAAGACTTTTTAACAAATCCATCTTGATGTAATCATGTGATTTGGGCTATTGTTCTGAATATCATGAGAATTGTTCTAACTGTTGAATTATCTCTTGACAAAAATCTAACGTGACAATAATGAATAACTTTTGGATTATGTTGCTATAGTGTTTTTTCTCCCTTGAGTTTTATTCAAAATTTCTGTATCAGTATTTGTTTCATAAAGGAAAATTGTTAGAGCGTTTTCTGAGTTTTTGAGAACCATGAGCATAAAAGGGGCATTAACTGCTCTTTAAATGTTTGACAGAATTTACCTTTAAATCTATCTGGACCAGGAATTTTTTCTTTGGAACTTCCTGTATGTCTTTTTCAATGTGATTTTTATGAAATTGAGTTAAGATCTCTGTTCCATGTTCCAGTAATTAGGGTATTTTATATTTTCAAGGTAACAATCCATTTTTAAAAAATTCTTTGTTTTGCTACAATAGTTCTGAATAGTAGATTCTCAAAATTCTTTTTATTTGTTTTCTATTGTAAGTATAACATGTTCTTTTAAAAGAAATTTGTTGATAATATGGTTTTTCTCTCTTTTTTGTCAGGTTAGTAATATGTTTATTAATTTTACTCTCTTTTCAAAGAACCGGCTTTTCTCTCCTTTCATATCAACTGGGTAATTGTAGGACTTATACACTATACTGCAATATATTATAAATATACTATAGCAATACAGTATAATTATAACAATATTCTAATATAGTACATTATAAATAACATTTTCAGTTTGTTTTTTAAAAAGCATATTGAATTGGGCCACTGGCAAACTATTCAAAGAAAGCCAGAGCAAATGATCTGAAAGAAGTGCAACATAGTGAAAAGGTGATTAAAAATAAGCCACAGAATGACTGAGTGATGATATAAGGCTGTCAAAGGACTAGTTTTGAATGACTTCTAACTTTTAAAGGGCATATAGCTTGTTAGTATTACTCTTCTAAATGTAATGCCAGTCTATTTGAAGGCACATTGGCACTTCGGTCAAATAAAACATGTAGGCTAAGAAAGGGGGTCAGTAGAGAAGTAGTGGAAGGAAGCATTAATGGTATCCTGAAAAATAACAGTGATACATATCACTGTACTGTGCTGTGGCCAAACCAAATCCAGATTATTACATGCTGTGAGTTCCATTTTAGGAAGGATACCAACAAACTGTGGTACACACAAAGGAGAGTGACCAGCATGGTGAGAGGACTGAAAATCTCGTATGATGTTCCATCCCTGGAAACCATGCTTAACATTCTACTGTTTGTTCAGTCATTTCAGTTGTGCCCAACTCTTCATGACTCCATTTGGGGTTTTCTTGGTAGTACATGGTTTGCCATGTCCTTCTCCAGCTTATTATTTACAGATGAGGAACTGAGGCAAACAGGGTTAAGTGACAGGGTCACACAGCTAGTAAATATTTGAAGCCAGATTGGAAACTCAGAAGATGAGTCTTCCTGACTTCAGGTCCAGTGCTCTATCTGCTGCACCCCCTAGCTGTCCCTAAATATCATATATGGAGAATATTTAACTTGGAAAAGAGAAGACTTTAATGGAAGATGATGGCTTGCTGCAAATATGTGAAAGGTTGCCCTACAGAGAAGGAAAAGACTTCTTATGCTTGACTCTGAGAAAATAATGAAAAATAATGAGTAGGAGCTGCAGAATGAAAGATATGTAAGGAAAACTTTCTAATGATTAGAGCTGTCTAAAAGTGGGATGGGCTGCCTCAGGAAGTGGGGAATTCCCTATATTTGGTGTACTTCAAGCACAAGGTAGACAGATGATCACTGCCAACATCCCAGTAAAGGGCTTTGCTATTTCAAGTATGGACCAGATGACCTCTGAGGTTCCTTCCAACTCTGAGATTCTGTAAGTTTATTAAACTAGCAGGTGAAGATGGAAGAGGTTTGAAAGAATTTTTGTAGTTCCTGAACAAAAGCTGAAAAAAGTTTAAGATAGCTAAATTTAGTTACTGGACTGGATGCTTAATATGCCTTCCTGGAACAGTAAAGATGTGATTAATTTTATTACAAATAATACATTTGCTAATAATTTTAATTATTTTATTTTATTAGTGATTTAAAGACATTCGGAATCCTTTTTACCATCCTACAAAATGTTCATGATTCCTTCCCAACCATATTAACTGTCGCAGGTATGAAGAATTGAATGACAGTAAATACCAGGAGAAAATGGTTATATTTTCCATCCTTGTGAAAATTCTTTCTTGACATGTTTTTATCCCAACTTTCCAAACCCCATTTGTTTCAAAATAGATCATTGGGGTGTGTGTGTGTAGCTATAAATATAAAGACATAGATACAGACATAGATATAGCTAGGTATCATAGCTTCACTGAGCTGAAAGGCTTCTTAAAGATAATCTAGTCCAACTCCCTCTTTTCACAAATGAGGAAATTGAGATCTATAAATGGCTACATGTAGACCTGGGATCTAAAACCAGGTCTCCTGATTCTTTGTCTGATGTTCCTTCCCTTTCCTATGCTACCCACCTGTTTTATAAAAATCTTTGACAAAAAAGAGAGGGAAAAATCACAATTGTTTTTTATTATTTTGATGAAAGGTAAGTAGTTAGGTTAAACTAAAGTTTGAGATAGTCCTTTTGAAATTCTGAATTATATTAATTAAAATTCTAAATTCTAAAATTTTGGCTCACAAAAGTTTTCTTCAGTCCACAGCAAACTCCCCTTCCAAACTCCACTGATGCATCACAATAAGGGCACTTACTATCACCCTGTTTCACACCTCACTGAGATCCTTGACTTCTCACTTTTATCCACCTTACATATTCAATCTGTTGCCAAGTCTTCACATTTCTATCTCCACAATGTCTCTCACATGCATCCCCTTCTTTCTACACTCACCCAGACATCACTCTAGTTCAGGCCTCCATCACCTCTCACCTGGATTATTGCCAAAGCCTCCTATTTAGTCCAACACACTTAAAGCTCTTCTACATTCCCATACATCCTCCATACACTGCTAAATAAATTCTCCTAAAGCACATATCTAATCATGTCATTTCCCTATTCATGAAACCCTAAGATATCTGATCTAGGACAAAATATAAACTCCTCTGTTTGGCATTTATCTTCCTAATTTGGCACCTTCTTATCTTTCCAGTTCTCCTCATACATTAGTAACCTCCATGCACACTATGATACAGTCAAACTAGAATACCGCTGTACTACCATGCTTCTACATCTCCCATGCAAAAGCACTGGCTGTCTCTCATGCATAGAATATATTTCTGTTTCACTTCTAGCATTTGGAATCCCTAGTTTCCCTCAAGACTCAGTTCAAGAGGGGCAGCTAGGTGGCACAGTGGATAGAGGACCAGTCCTGGAGGCAAGAGGACCTGAGTTCAAATCCAGTCTCAGACACATAATACTTCCTAGCTGTGTGACTCTGGGCAAGTCGTTTAACCCCAATTGCCTCACTAAAAACCAACAACAAACAAAAACAAAACAAAACAAAAAGACAGTTCAAGTGCCACCTTTTAATTTAGCTTTCTTGTCCCATTCTCCTCCCCCCATACCCCTGTTCTAATGCACTCTCTCCCAAACTAATTTGCATCCATATTGTGATTATACATATATATAATATGCATATGTATATACATACACATACATGTGTATGAATGCACACATATGTATGTATATACGTTGCTGTGATGTTGTTCAGTTGTTTTTCAGGTATGTCCAGCTCTGTGACCACATTTGGGGTTTTTTTTGGCCAAGACACTGGAGTGGTTTGCTATTTCCTTCTCTAGCTCAGTTACAGATGAGAAAACTGAGGCAAACAAGGTTAAGTGACCTGCCTAGGGTCACACAGCTAGTGTCAGAGGCTAGATTTGAACTCAGGAAGATGAATCTTCCTGCTTCCAGGTCCAGCACTCTATCTACTGCACTACACACACACACACACACACACACACACACACACATACACACACACACACACACACTCATATATGTAGATATTGTCTTTTTGTTATAATATAAGCTGCTTGGGGGCAGGCATTATTTCAATTTTCTCTTTGCAGCTCCAAGACTCAGCCCAGTCCTGGGCACATAGTAAACATTTAACAAATGCTTATTGATTGAGTGAAATTGTCTGTGCTTCCAAACACCTAAGAAAGAGCCTATATGTGTGTCTTGGGGTCAATTATATTCGCAGACAAGGCAGTTTAGTAGCATCCTTTTAAATTAACTAAGTCAGATACGAATTTTGTATGAACTGGCTCTATTTCCTGCAGTAGATTATAATTTCCCATAGCAAACACAAAAGAGGTATGCTTAATACACAGCTCTTTATAAAATGAGTCTTTGATGAAAACTGTTCCTTAATCAAAAATGCCATTCCTGCTTATTACATATCCTTTCATTCCACTGTGGCTCATATCATTAAGCTAAAAACCTGTCATATTCTTACAGCTAAATATGAAGTTTACACAGACATATAAAGAACTCTAAGGGAAAATTAACAACAATAATAGTAATCTTAATAAATAACAACTAGTATTTAGATGGCACTTTTTGCCAAGTGCTTCAAAATATTATTTTATCCTCACAAGAACACTGAAAAGTAGATGCTCTTATTATCCTATTTTACAGAGAAGAAAACCAAGGTTGAGAGGGGCTAAGTGACTTGTACTGAGTCACAAAAGTATCTGAGGGAATATTTGAACCCAGCTCTTCCTGACTCCAAGTCTAGCACTTTTATCCATTGTGTCATTTAGTTGCCTCCTAATGATCAGAAAAGCAAAAAGGAAAAAAAAAATCAAACTTTAAGTTTCTTTTAAGCCAACTGTCTGATTACATTTAGATATTTTGAGCATATACATGTTATTTCCGTAGTTTCCACACTAGATTTTCTTGGCTAACCTACTGGGTAAATTGTCTAAAGGACTTACCAAAATTTTATTCTGTTTAGCTCTCACGGAAGCTCCAAACCACTGGTGAGACTTAAACTCCAATGGATCATTCTTGGCATAATCTCTATTGCCTAAAGAAGAAAATTGGGAGGAAAGAAACCCCCAAACATTATTTTAAAATAATGCAGCAAACTTTTTTTTTTCTAGCATGGGAAGGAAACGGTGATGGTTAATCAAATATTTTATTTGACAGAGATAACACACACGGATTATCAATTTTTTAAGAGTTGGATTTAAATTATTAAAATATCTTAATAGTTGATTAATAGTGAACATTATTTAGTCTGTCTTTGAATGGAAGGTGAGAAAATTGTGGGAACTGAGTGAACCAAAATGACTGCATCTTGTGACTCAATTCTGGATCTAACTCAGTTCCCTTTCTATTCAATTATGGGTCTAGTCCAATTTCTATCTCATGAGAAACCTTTATTTAATTATGGGAATTGTAAGAGAACTTTATTGCATTGTTTGAACCTAGCTCTGCAGGGCTGGGAAGCTAGATCATCTCTACCTGTTGTTTACAGACTTTTAACTAAGGACCTAGATTATGCTGACCAGAAACCCAGTCAGTTCCAAAGATTGATGCAAAGGATTTTCTCATGTTTATACATCTCAAGCAACCTATATGTCTTATCTGAAAACTAGCTCCATGCTGGTCAATCAGTTACTGTTTTCATGTTCCTTTGAATGAACACAGTTACTTAGAGGGAGTGAGACACTTCTTTTTCTGATTTCAGGGAACTGAACCTATTTGTTCTCTCCCTCTCAACTCAGAAATTTCCTAATCTTTCCTCTAATTAGAAATCAGATTACCTAATTATAATACTGTTTTATATCCTGATTATTATTCCTTTAATGAATAAAAATCTGTCTCCCCCTGTAGTCAGGGTTCCATGCCAAGCTGAAGAGGCCTGGTCCAGATTTTTTATGCAATTGGTATGCACTGCTTAATAAAAATCTATATGCTTGAAAACAAGGGTTCTAGATCCAGTTCTGAAAAGGATAGTCTGTATAACCTTGGCAAAGATACTTCATGTTTCTGGGTCTCAATTTCTTTATCTGTCAAGTGAAAGGATTAGACTGGGTGACCAAGAAATTGTAAAGCAACAGTTTTCTCTGTGTGTGTGTGTGTGTGTGTGTGTGTGTGTGTGTGTGTGTAGGCAATGGGGTTAAGTGACTTGCCCAAGGTCACACAGCTAGTAAGTCAAGTGTCTGAGGCCAGATTTGAACTCAGGTCCTCCTGACTCCAGGGCCAGTACTCTATCCACTGTGCCACCTAGCTGCCCCAAAGCAACAGTTTTCAAACTGTAGTCTGCAGACCCCTGGGGATTTCCAAGACTCTTTCAGGCTGTCCTCAAGGTCAAAACGATTTTCATTATAATATGAAGACATTATTTACCTAATAAAAGACTCCTCCCTTTTCTAACTACATATCTATATGAGGCAGGATTTTTTTCTCATATTTCAACCAAAATAACAGATCAAAATAAATAAATACATTCATTAATTCATTCATTCATTTGTTCATTTGTTCTTTTGGGCAGATAGATGGTACACTGGATAGAGCACTGGAGGAAGACCTGAGTTCACAATGGGCCTCAGACACTTCCTAGTTATATGATCCTGAGTAAGTCACTTAACCTGTTTGCCTCAGTTTCCTCAACTGTAAATGGGAATACTAATAACAGCTACCTCCTAAGGTTGTCATGAAGATCAAAAGAGATAATATTTGTAAAGAAATTAGCATAGTACCTGGCATATAGGATGTACTGTATAAATGCTAGTTGTTATTACACGACAAATTTAATAAAGGAGCAGATATGAAAAGTCTTCTATTCTTTTTTTTTTTTTTGGTGAGGCAATTGGGGTTAAGTGACTTGCCCAGAGTCACCCAGCTAGTGTTACGTGTCTGAAGTCCGATTTGAACTCAGGTCCTCCTGACTCCAGGACCAGTGCTCTATCTATCGTGCCACCTAGCTGCCCCTCAAAAGTCTTTATTAAGCCAGACATCTGTCTTTTAGTCAACTAGCATTTATCAAGCACTTACTATGTGCTGGGCACTATGCTAAGCATTGGGAATACAAATCAAGTAGAAAGAATGAGAATCTCTTTCCCCAAGAAGCTTGTATTCTAATGGGGGAGAAAGTAAATAAAAGGAAGCTGAGAAGTGGGAAAGGGGGGAGACAGGTACACAGCATGGGGAAATGAGAGAGGAAGTACTGAGTGCAGCTGAGAGAGTAATGATACATTGCTGATCTTGGCACCTTCCTTAAATGGAAGTTCTGGAAGGAGTTATCCAATCAGAAGGAAAGGCCCCAAAGGGACTGAGGACATTTCCAATATGTGAATTCCACAGCTGAAGTGAAGATGCTTACAATGAAGACTTGGGGCATGTTAGAGGAAGTTTGGTTTTCAATCTGGAAAGAAATAAGAAACATGGCTAGCCTGTATTCCTTCCTTAAATGGAAATTCTGAGATAAGCCATCCAATCAGAGAGAGACTACAGGGGCAAAAACATTAAAGAGATTTGCAAACGTATTTCAAACAATGCCACTCTTCTCACTAAATTTTTTCTTTAGAAAATATAGCTATTTTTTATAAAAATATAACATGTAATGAGTTTATCACTATTTTAAATGAATAAATATTTTATAGTTTATCAGTTTTAACTTCTAATAAATGATATATGCCATATAAAAAAAGTTCTTTGGAGCCTTCAATTATATTTAATTTTTTGGTCCTGAAACCAAAACTTTAGAGCCACTGTTCTAAAGAGTCTATAATTGATCTTAGACCAATTGATCATTTATTTTACAATACTATAGTGTTCCACAGAAAGTGTATGAGTAGATACATTTCTTCTCAGTTTAAGAAAAATTTATAATAATTGTCATCCCTCCATTTCCCACACACAAAATCTACTTGGATGATATCTTTGGGGGAGTGACAAATGCAGCAATCTAAATCAAATTGAAATCACATGTGGTTTATGGTAAGTTTCTATGGCCACATTTGTAACCACAGTAAAAATTTTCTCACAATCAACTGATACAGTCATCAGAGTATGCAAAATGCCCATGTAGAGGGATAAAAAGCAAAATATATTCCCGGTATGGAATCTCTTTTCTGTGACTTTCCCTTCCTAGGCCTTCTTATGCCAAGTTTGACCAAAATATGCCACCAATATGGAATCCTTCTGGGATTTTTTTTCCCCTAGATTATGTTATGCCATGTTTGGTCTCATGGGACAGACCAAAATTGGCATATGTCTGGGGGAAATTCTCAAAACACACAGAGCTGATCTAAATCACTCATATCTTAAAAAAAAAAGTTTTAATGCTAGTTCTAAGTCAACATTATAAGTTACTCAGTTGTAAGTAACCCTCTCAGTTTTACTGCATGGCTAATCATGCACATTGATTTGTTCTCCTATTGGAAATGTAATATTACGTAACTTGTTATACTATGAAAATAAGGCAGTTGCTATGCACATAGCTGGTGCTTAAAAATTTGTAGGACAAACAATAAAGCACAAATATTTTACTATGATACTTTTCCTCAAAGTTGGCATGTGACTCCTAAGGAGTTTGTGGAGAGCTACCTCCTCACCTGGGTGTTCCTCAGACTATAATAGCTATTTTAATCAGACCCTCCGATTCTCCCTGAGTGATCATGCTATGGCTCACAGTTGTCTTTGACTTAACCTAGTTCCCTTACAGAGTATAAGAGCTTGGATTAGAATGGTGGCAGTGAGAAGGAAAAGAGGGAACAATTGTCAGAAAAAAAAGATACTGTAAAGAAAGACAAGACTTACGTCAAACAATTAGATATGGAAGATGAGAATGATGCAGAAATCAAGAATGGCTGAGCAACTGATTTGAAGGGGAAGATTTATTTGGCTTTTGATATGCTGACTTTGAACTCCTAGCAGGACAGGCCTATGATGCCATACAAAGAATGATAGATCTGGAATCAGAAAACTTGAGTTCAAATCTTGATTCTGTTCTAGACATCTCTGTTGACCTTTCCCACTGAACCTCCTTGGACCTCAGTTTCCTCATTTGTAAAGTGAGGAGGTTGGACCAGATAACCTCTAAATTCCCTTCCAGCTATAAATCTATGATCCTATCGTCTAAGAAAAAACTATCAGACTGTAGCTATCCAGGAAAGATTGAAGATCTAGAAAGAAGACTAGACTGGAGTCATTTGCAGACCTGGGAGTCTGCAAACTATAACCTCTCTAAATTATACTTGAAATCATAGGAAAGATGACTTCTTTCCAATAAAAGAAGTATAGAAAGAGAAGCAAAAGAAGATTCAAGGACAGTGCCTTATTCCACTAAGGTATATGCATAGTAATATGTTAGACTCCTTGCCATACTCACTATAAAATTCCATCATAAAATTCAGCTTTGCACTAAAGGCATATATTAGACTTCCAGATAAAGACTGGAAAACTGTTGAACTAAATTCAAGAAAGGTTTGAGATTGAGGGAACAGCAAAGCCTTTCTATAATGGCCAAATCCAAAATGTCTAGAGAGACATGAAAGCCACTCACTTTTGAAGAATCAGGTTATTTTATATTATGATCCTCTAATTCCCCACTGTCCTCCCACAACCTTGAGCAAAACTTCAGTAAATAAGAATTGGTGTGGAGTGGGAAAAGTCAGTCTAAGTTATTAATTGCACATTATAGAGCTGGAAGACACCTCTATAACGCAAAAAAAAACCAACCCCCAATTTGCAGATCAAGAAGAGACCAAAAGAAATTGAATGATTTGTTCCAGATCACAGAATAATGACAGAGCCAGGATTAGCACGTTTCTCCTGAGCCCATCACTCTTTCCACAATTATCACACTGATATTTGAATCAGTAAGACCTGAATGATAAACTATTCTACAAGAAATACAATCATATTATTTTCATGTCTATACAATATAACTCAAACTAGCATTGCAATATATTTGTTCATTCTCCTAGCACTAACTGAGCATTTTATGTTAAGTTGTTTCTCATAGTCACTATGTACTGAGGATATAAAAATGATTAAGAGATGGTTTCCATCCTA